CAATCCTGATCTAACAACTCATATTTGTGAATAAGACACTGAAGTACCTGTATACTTATTGCAAGAAAGCACACACCAGATAGGCTCCTTTGCGCATCAGCTGGTGCCTTCTCCACCAGGTAACACAAAGGGAGGACTGACTTTTGTCAGGCAATAGTCTGTCCCTCCCTCTTTCTCTCTCCCCTCTTCTTTATCCCTTATCATTTCTCAGGGGAGGAATTTTCAACCTCTTGCCTTGGAGACACACACCAGGCCTCAGGATGAGATAAGATAAAACAGTTTTAAGGGATTCACTGTTAGCCAGAACCATGGCATTTCATAAAGTTCCTCTGTAGCAGGCTTCCTTTGGGGCCACCAACCAGCTCCCAAATAATGATACAGAGACATATTATTAGTTATGAATGCTGGGCCTTAGCCTATACGTGTTCCACTAGCTCTTATTACTTAAATTAAGTAATGTGATTCTCTTCATCTACATTTTGCCTTGGGGCTTTTTTTATCTTTCTTTCATTCTGTATGTCCTACTCCATATTTGGCTGGCTGGCTGGCAGCTGCTTCCCTTTCTCCCTTGTTCTCTTCTCCCTTCTCTCTCCTCAAGAGCCTAGATTCCTCCTCCCATTTATTCTCGCTGCTCGCCAGCCCTGCCTATCCCTCTACTACCTAGCTATTGACCATTCAGATTTTTATTAAACCAGTCAGGTGCCTTAGGCAGGCAAAGTGAAACAGCAACACATCTTTACATCATTAAACAAATGCAGCAGAAACAAATGTAGCACCCCTTTTCCTAGTTAGAGTAATATTCCACAACATTCCTCCACTTTGCTTGAACTGTGATATTCTCAAAACTAAAGTGATTTGGTGTGCAGAACTCAAGTAGCATGTTTCTCTAGATTCCTGCCATCCCTGTTATATGAACTCAAAACAGTGTCTATCCAGTAGAAATGTTTATGCACCACCTGCCATTCTTTTAACTGACATCCTGGTTAGTTTTATGTCAACTTGACACAAGCTAGAGTTATTGGGAAAGAGGGAACCTTAATTGAGAAAATGCCCCCACCAGATTGGCCTGTGGGCAAGCCTGTGAGGCATTAGGCATTTTCTTGATTAATGGTTGAAGAGGGGGTGGAGTGGGGACTGAGATGGGGTGGGGCAGTGTCTCGGCCTATTGTGGGTGGTGCCATCCCTGGGCAGGTGGTCCTTCATTATACAAGAAAGCAAGTTGAGCAAGCCATGAAGAACCATAAGCAGGGAGCCAGGCGATGGTGGCACAAGCCTTTAATCCCAGCACTTGGGAGGCAGAGCCAGGCAGATCTCTGTGAGTTCCAGGCCAGCCTGGTATACAGAGTGAGATCCAGGACAGGCACCAAAACTACACAGAGAAACCCTGTCTCAAAAAAACCACAAACAAAAAACATAAGCAGAACTCCTCCAAAGTTTCTGCTTCTGTTCCTGCCTCTGACCCCAATCAGAGATGGAGTGTGACATGAGAGCTGTAAACTGAAATAAACTTTTTCCTCAAAGTTGCTTTTTTTCATGGTGGTCTTTTTCTCTCTCACACAGCAATAGAAACCTTAATAAAACAACCCATCTACCCTAGAAATAGCCAACTGTGGGTTAAGAGAAAACTTTTAAAATCTCCTTCCCACCATTCTTTCCTTGAGACCTCTAAGGACTCCCATTCTGGCACAAGGACCTGAGCTCTCCTCAGAGGACTTCAGCTGCCTGCTGTCTATGGCATTAATAACTCAATATATTTCTTATCCCAATGGGCAGTTGACCTCAGAGTCCTCCTTGAACCCTGAACAGAAAACTTTTAGTTCATAGTTCAATATTTGCCTTTTTCTGCTTCCTATTTTCAACCCAACACCTTGACACCAGTCTTATCCATTGCTGGGTTCATTGCCTCTATGAGTTATTTTCTTCATGAACAAAACCTGTCTTGGAGGGAAAGATGAGTCACGCCAGAAGCCAGTGATGGGAAAATCTGGAGGCAGAGTTTTAGCTACCCCTTGTTAAGGCATTCCACAAAGTTTTGTTCGAATGCATTAGCCTTTTGATTAAAATGATATTAATCCTGGTAATCTGAATGCATGTGCCTTTAGTCAAAGCCTACATCAAAATAAAAAAACCAATAGCTTCTCTTCAAATAGCACGTTTCTGAACTTTTTCTTTCTTTCTTTCTTTCTTTCTTTCTTTCTTTCTTTCTTTCTTTCTGTCTCTCTCTCTCTCTTTCTCTCTCTCCCTATCTCTTCCCTTTCTTTTTTTTGAACATTTTAAAAATATTTTTTAAAAGATTTATTATGCAGTGTTCTGCCTGTATGTATACCTGCATAGCAGAAGAGGGCACCAGATCTCATTGTAGATGGTTGTAAGCCACGATGTGGTTTCTGGGAATTGAACTCAGGACCTCTGGAAGAACAGTCAGTGCTCTTAACCTCTGAGCCAGCTCGCCAGCCCAAACATGTTTTTTCTTTTAGTTTTGTTTTTCAGTACATCCCAACCAGTTTCCTCTCCCTTCACTCCTCCCAGTCTCCCCACTCTACTTTCCCTCTTCTCTAGGTCCACTCCATTTCCCTTAAGGGAGGAAGGAATAGGCCTCCCAGGATATCACCTGAATAAGGCATAACAAGATACAATAAGATTAGGCACAAACCCTCATATCAAAGCTGGGCAAGGCAGCCTAGTAGGAGGAAAGGAGTCCCAAGAGAAGGCAAAAAAAATCAGAGACACCCCCATTCCCACTGTCAGGAGTCCCCTCAAAACACCAAGCCAACAACCATAACACATGCAGAGGACCTAGTACAGACCCATGCAGGCTCCGTGATTGCTGCTTCAGTCTCTATGGGCCCCATGAGCCCTGCTTATTGATTCTGTGGGCAGTGTTCTCCTGGTGTCCTCAACCCCTCTGGTTCCTACAATAGTCCCCCTCCCTCTTCTGTGGGTTCTCCTAGCTTCTAGGGGAGGGACCTAATGGAGATCTCCAACTTGGGCTCTCTCCACTTAGTGTTTTTCTGTGGGTCTCTGCATCTGCTTCCATCAGCTGCCAAGAGAGTCTTCCCTGATGATGATTGGGCTAGGCACCAATCTATGATTATAGCAGAATATCATAGGAATCATTTTATCGATTCTGGCCTCCTCCTCTATTCTAGGTCTCTGGGCTATCCAGGTATGGCCTATCCAGCTTCCAGTTCCTAGTCATCCAGGCAATGTGGGGCAGAGGCTCCCTCTCCTGGTATGGAACTCAAATTAGACCTGTCATTGTTTGGCCACTCCCACAAGTTCTGCACCTCTATTGCCCCAGCACAAATTATAGGCAGGACAGAAGCTTTTGTTTCTAGGTTGGTGTCCCAAAATTGGAAGCCTTGCCTGGTTACAGAAGATGGCCTGTACACCTTTCTTCATTAACCAAACCTGTCTTGGAGGGAAAGAGGAGTCACATGGGAAGCTGGTGATGGAGGAAATCTGGAGGCGGAGTTTTAGCTATACCTTGTTTAGACATTTCACGAAGTTTCCTTTCATTCAGTCCTTCAAGTTCTTCTCCAGAAGTTTTCTGAATATTTTTTTGCACCTCTGGAGAATTGACTTTTTTGTTGACCTCTCATCTAATTGCTATTAATCTGCTTGTTTTCTAGCTTTCAGTGTTCTGTAAGAATACCATTTGCTCTTATAATGACCTCTGCCCTTTCATTCTCCTTTAGTAGATTCAGAGAATCAAAAAATATATTTTGCTCCTTGTACCACATTTAACCGTACCCCCATCATTTAAAAATATTATACTCATCAGATTACGTCATCCTCCTACTTAAATACTCTAGTAGCTTCCTCAGAGGTCTTAAGTGAGTTGAAGACCCTGAAGCTCTAAGCTTATTTTGTAATCCAGTGGTTCTCAACCTTCCTAATGCTGCAACCTTTTAATATAGTTCCTAATGTTGTGGTGACCCCCAACCATAAGATTATTTTCGCTGCTACTTCATAACTGTAATTTTGCTAATATTATGAATCGTAATGTTAATAACTGTCTTCCAGTGGTCTTAGGCCACCCTGTGAAAGGGTCCTTCGACTCCCCGCCAAATGGGTCCCGACCTACAAGTTGAGAACCACTGTAGTAATCACTCTTCTAACACGTTATGATTTAGTCACAAAACATCCCTGTTGCTTCAGGCTACGGCTTCTTTCTTGTTAGTTTCCCTCTGTTCATCAGGATATCCACCTCGTTAAACAGAACTTGCCCCAACATCAGTAACTCTGTAAGCAGACTTTCTAACATTAATACTGTCTCTCTAAAAGGAGAGCACGTTATGAGGAGACTTCCTGACAACAGCAACCTCTGTAACTCGGTTTTATTTTCTTTGTAACATTTACGGTGTCCATTTGTTTTTCTTGTCTCTGCCTCAGCAGACTATGCTGTGTTTTGTGTATTTTAGTTAGCAGGGAGCCTCCAGGTACAAACAACACTTCTTGTGGGAACTCTGGGGAGACTGTCACTACAAGGAACAGGCAACTTTGTAATCTGGACGAAGGAACCTGCCTTAATTAGCCTGCAGAGCATAACTGAGAGGCTGACACTAGACGATATGTAAATAGAAACACGTGTTTGCCCTAGGAGCCGACGTATCCATGTACTCAGATTTCAAAAATCTCAGAACCTATTTTTTTCTTTTAGCAAATCAGGCGTGGAAACTGCGGCGGGAGGCTGGGAGGGACCAAGGATGCTCTAGCAAAGGATGCAAAAAAAAAAAAACCCACCTCACCGCAGGTCCCAGAATGCATCACCACTCCGACGGATCTGGAGAGGGGCATGCTGGGATCTCCTTCCCGGCGATTGAGGAAGGGCTGTTGTGCATGCGGTACTGCGGAGGACTGTCGCAGGCCCGGGGTCCCTTTCGGTTCGCGGTGGGGCCGAGTCCCGGGAGGCCGGGCCCGCGGCGCTCGCTCGGGCGGGCTGTGCGGGCCGCGGCGCCGGGCAGTGGCGGCTGCGGCGGCGGGGAGGGGCGGCGCTGCAGCCGCGGGCCCCAGGCCCCAGGCCCGCCCCGGGTAGCCGCAGATCCGGTTCCCTGAGCCCGGTGGGACGTTGGCGCAGAACTTTGTCAGATTCGGGCCTGACCGCCTTCGCCACCGAGTACCCAGGCTAGCCCTCCGCCAGCCTTGGCCTATCTCACTCCCAGCGTATCCTTTATCTGCCGTGCCCCGGCCTCTGTAAGAAACGAAACTGGGTGCCAAGAGAACTGGCTTCCTTCCAGAATCAGACACTTATTTTCCTTGTCGGGAGAGAAACGAGAAAAAGAAAAAGATGTAGAGAGATTTTGTAAAGCTGAATTTGGATGAAGGGGAGGGATAATTGTCCTCCTTTTTCTTTTCTGGGATTAAATACTTGACCGCTAGGTGATCGTCTGGTTAGGAAAGTGGTGTGGTTGCTTGAAAAGGTTTGTTTGGTTTGGCTTTTTTAAAACACCTTCCTATAAGTAGTCAGCATTCCATTAGCCCATCAAATCTAAAGTCTCGGGACGCGTTGGACTTCAGAGGACTTCAGAGGACTTCAGAGGAAGGAGCTGTTAGCTAGCATAATGAAACCAGCGTCTGTAACCCAGTTTGCTAGATTCTGGGAGTAAGTGCTGTTTTCCCACAGCCTTTCAGCTTTTACCTTTGGACTCTGCAGTGTGTGTGTGCTTGCCTTCCGTTACTTTCTGGCTTTCGTGACCTGTCTGATCCAGGGTTTCCATGTATGCAAAGTGATACATGTAAAAAAAAAAAAAATGGTAGCTGTAGTGTTTGTTCAGTTTGCCATATGTAAAGCTCTGAAATGTTACTAAGGTGCATTTACCCTCCTCCTAATACTGCATGCAAGTATGTTGATCAGTAGTAGACTGTTGTTTTCTTTTAACCTTATCTTGCATGGACAACTAATAAATAAATGTGCTTCTTTACTACTTCTTGGACCAAACCCTTTGAGTTTTCGTTGTGTGAGATGGAGTCTCACTATGCAACACTGACTGGTTTGGAACTCACTGTGTTGACCAGGCTGGTCTCTAAGAACGGAGGTCCACCTGCCTCTGTCTTGGGAGTGCTGGGATTAAAGGCGTGCATCACCATGCCCTATTGAAATGTTTTATTCATTTTTTAAATTTTACTATTACCTTTGATATCTTGAAATTCAGGCACAGGTTGAATAAGTATCCTTTTCCTAAAATTTTTGGAAACACAAGGCTAAACATGAAATTTACGGATGTGTCATGTATATCTTGTGTTTCCATGTTTATTTATACATGTATATTTATATTTTCAGCATGCCTGTGTTTTGACTGTCATCCCTCACATGAGATCAGGCCTAGATCCACTTGTGATGTCAGAGCTCAGAAGTTTTGGATTTTGGAGCACTTGGGAGTTTGGATTTTTGGATCAGAGATGCTTAACCTGTAGTGAGGTTTTGGTTGAGACTTATAATTAACTGTGTACATTTAAGGAATGATAAGTATTCTTTGCCAAAACTAAATACAGCTCCAAACACTCTAAGAGTCCCAAATCATTTTATGAAATGTGCTTTTCTTCAACTCTCACTGTCAGACTTACGATTTTGTTTCATGTCTAGGTGCATGCCCCCGCCATGCTCTCCTGTGACATATGTGGAGAAACAGTGACCTCAGAACCAGATATGAAGGCTCACCTCGTTGTTCACATGGAAAACGAAGTTGTATGTCCGTTTTGCAAGTTGTCAGGTGTAAACTACGATGAAATGTGTTTTCATATTGAAACTGCTCATTTTGAGCAGAATACACCAGACAGAAACTTTGAGAAGCTAAATGCAAGACATTATGAAAATCCAGACAGTAAGAATACCACCCTGCAGAATGCAATGGAAGTCAATTCAAGCATCCATTCAGCCTGTGCGTCCAATTTTCCAAAATATTCACCTCAAAGCCTTCCTAGAGATGGGATTTTAAAACATGAAGCTTTTCGTACACAGAGCATAACCGAATCTAGAAAGTACCCGAAAAGCCCAGAGAAGCAGTCTGGATTGTCTGTAATACAAGGACCAATTTACGGGACAACGTACAGTCTCCCCGAATGTCCATTTTGTGGAAAAATAGAAGGGCATAGTCAAGATATGGAGATGCATGTAAAGACAAAGCATGCCGGTCTCTTAGAGGCGCCATTAGAAGGTAAAGTGTTCAACTTACTTAAATTGTTATAAAAACAATAGTCTCACTTTAATCTGTGGTATCAAGTTGGCTTGTTCACTGTTACAAATGTGCTTTTAAGATTCAATTTCTGCCGGGCGGTGGTGGCACACGCCTTTAATCCCAGCACTCGGGAGGCAGAGCCAGGCGGATCTCTGTGAGTTCGAGGCCAGCCTGGTCTCCAAAGCGAGTCCCAGGAAAGGCGCAAAGCTACACAGAGAAACCCTGTCTCGAAAAACCAAAAGATTCAATTTCTGACGTATCTTATTCAGTTGCTTTGAAAATATATTCTCGATAGTAATCCTTGACTTAAGCTGTTGTCCACCCCTATGGCTTACCCGTTAATTTTTGCAGGATTTATATTTTAGATGTGTTTGCTTTTCATCTGTTTCCTACAGTGGTATTTTTTCACTCTGAGATAATAAAGGTATCCACTTATATTCTTATTTCTCACACTTTTATTTCATTTGAATTATGTGTATGTTGCGTGTACTAGTGTATATTGTGAGAGTTTGGAATCTAAAATTTTCCTATATTGATTCATAATAATTTTTTTTTTTTTTTTTTTTTTTTTTTTTGGTTTTTCGAGACAGGGTTTCTCTGTGTAGCTTTGCGCCTTTCCTGGAACTCACTTGGTAGTCCAGGCTGGCCTCGAACTCACAGAGATCCGCCTGACTCTGCCTCCCGAGTGCTGGGATTAAAGGCGTGCGCCACCACCGCCCGGCTAATTTTTAAGTTATTATATCTGTATGAGTCCATTTCTGGTCTTCCAGCTCCTATTTACTTAGCTATTCCTTACTACTCTGCTTCTTTAATTACTCATTTTTAACCTGTCATTGATATCAGAGAGGACAGTTCTTTTCATTATTTCCTTAGGCATTCTCATTTTATTTTTAAGATTTTTATTATTGATTGTGTCTGTGTCTGTGTCTGTGTGTCCATGTGCAGGTGCCTCTGGAGTCCAGAAGAGGGAGCTAGGGTTATGAGTGTGTGTGTGTGTGTGTGTGTGTGTGTGTGTGTGTGTGTGTGTGTGTGTCTGTCTGTGTGTCTGTCTGTGTGTCTGTGTGTCTGTGTGTCCATGTGCAGGTGCCTCTGGAGTCCAGAAGAGGGAGCTAGAGTTATAACTGGTTTTGAGCACCCTAACGTGGTTGCTGAGAACTGACTCCTGGTCTTTGGAAGAGCAACAAGTGCTCTTAACTGCTGAGGCATCTCTCCAACTCTTCATTACTTACTTATTTGCTTAATTTTTAGGACCATTTTATTAAATTCCACGAAAACTATGTTGAACTGTTGTTCGATGTTAAGTCGTAGTCCATTTTCACGTTAATCCGGGTTATCACTTATATCCCTCCATAGAGACTTCTCACTTTCTTCACTGTACATGCTCTTTTATTGAATTCACTTTTGCAAACTTATAGACGCATTGTCAATGTGTCCGTGCACTGATTCTCACCTAGGAAGTGTGACTGTGAGTGAGAAAGAGCCCCGCTGTCATTAGTAGAACAGAGGAAGTCAGAGTGGTGAGGTAGAAGGAGAGGTAAGTAGAAGAGGGACATCTGAATAGACTTCAGACATTAGCAGATACTGGCCGTGTTGATAACAAGTATGTCAGTTATGCTGTTGTGGAGCCCCTCTTCTCCACCTGTTAGAGCTAGGCTTTAGTCTTGCTACAATACTTCTGTCTGTCCTGGCCTGTTGGAGTCATCTCTTTAATTTCCTGTTCCCAAGTAGGCAGGGTGACTTCAGTGCTGAGCTTTGTGCTGGACACCTGAGTTCAATAGCTGACCACTTTTCATGATGAGTACTGGGAAGTTAGCACCCAAACCCTCTAGATTCTTACCCACTTGGTTTTGGTTTTCCTTCCTACTTTTCTTGTTTCAACCACAGATGTGAATGTTTATTATTTTCTTATATTATTCTCTATAAAGTAGTAAGAGAGCTCAGTACTGTTATCAATCTCTCATTTTGTCTCTAGAACCGGATAAGCACTTACTTCATTATTTAACACATTGTGCCATACTCACATCCCTGTATGCTCTGTTTCACAACCAAAAATCCAAGTCTTACAGATTAGCTGTCACCATCCAGTATACTCACCCAACACTGACATAAGCACCACCAGTGTTCAAACAATATTCTAAAATTAATACAAATATTAATTTCAAAATAGCGTATCTTTAGTTTGTGTATCTTGTATTTTGCCATAGCACATGTGTGGAGGTCAAGGGATGACATTTAGAAGTTAGTTCACCATGTGGGTCCCAGATACCAAACTCAGGTCATCAGTCTTGGTGGCTAGCACCTTTATCTACTGACCCATCTCACTGGCCCCCAGAAAAGTAGTTTGTTTTTTTTTTTGGTTTTTTCGAGACAGGGTTTCTCTGTGTAGCTTTGCGCCTTTTCCTGGAACTCACTCAGTAGCCCAGGCCGGCCTCGAACTCACAGAGATCCGCCTGGCTCTGCCTCCCAAGTGCTGGGATTAAAGGCGTGCGCCACCACCGCCCAGCTGTAGTTTTTAAATACAACTATAAAGAGCTTTTATTTTTACAATAAGGTTAGAAAGTAGTAGAAAGTCTTTGATATGTTTGGTTTGTTTGTTTGTTTGTTTATTGAGGCAGGGTCTCACTGTATAGCCTTGGCAGGCCTGGAAATTGATGTGTGGGCCAGCCTGGCTTTAACGTACAGAAGTCTGATTGCCTCTGCCTCCGTAGTGCCATGATTAAAAGTGTGCACCACTATGCCTGGTGACATGTTTAATGCTAACTACAAAAACATTTTACTCATCGGATAAAGTTGTGAGGTAGTCCTTGGTGTGGGATGAAAAGTTTAAAAGATCTACAAATTAAATGAGCCTATCTGTGTCTCTAATCCAGACTGCCATCAACCGTTCTATGACTGTCCCATGTGTGGACTCGTCTGTACAAATTACCATATTCTCCAGGAACATGTGGACTTGCATTTAGAAGAAAGCAACTTTCAACAAGGTATGTTTATGTCTAAAAGTATTTTAATTTCTACTTCCTAGAATACACATTTCTTTTAGGTTAACGATACAGTGAAAAAAGCCATACTGTTTAAAAGTGGAGCTGTTCTTTACATAATTCTTATGTAGCTGCACTGCTTTCCCTGAAGATGTCTTACAGAAAAGTTGTAAAGGATGAACTGTGGAGACTGTGGAGACAACATTCAAACCAAGGTTTTACTTGACATGTAGAGGGTTCACCATTTAAGATAATGCTTTGTAAATCGTTTGCCATTTTGAAGTTTTTATTGACAAGGTGAGGCCATTCTTTCACTGGTTTGAAGTAATGAAGTTAGCATTTAGCCAGCAAAAATTTTGAACTAAGAAGCTGCCAATTTTTAAAAACTACATGAATTTATGTGAGTCTTGTAGCTATTGTGTGACAAAACTTTCCCAGGGAAGACACAACACACATGTCTACTTACCCCAGATAGGGAATCTGTCTATGACAGACCATGGTAGTAGTGATACTACCAATGTTCAGTTTGGCGGGTCAGTGAGTTTTATTGGAGTTGCTCAACATGAGCATGGGTGAGGAGTTACTTACAAGAGCAGAAATGACTGAAAGACGGCTGCATCCCTGTCATGTGGGACAGCTCCCAAAAGCTGGAGCACACTGCACACAGCCTGCAGGCAGCTCACCAGGTTAGAGAGTGCCCTTTCCAAGAGATTCAGTGGGTCTAACCCTCTCCTAGACAGCTCAGCTGGGTTCTGCTTTTTCAGGCTGCTGGTCTGGTCTGAGTCTTATTTACACCTGTGCTCCGCTCACTGAATCTTTGCAGCTTGGCTCCCTTCTATCTGAGGGGGACCCTCGGCTTTTGTTGCTTACTCTGGCAGGGAGGGGCCTAGCAAATCTGGTCAGTTTCAGGGATTTCCTGCCGCTATTTTTCTTAAAGAGCTACCCTGCATGATGAAATGTTTCAATCTCAAGGAAACTGTTATACAGCAGTAACCTGAAAGTCTTGATATGTATGTTCAGTTGGTTGCCTGGCATCTAAAATTACTTATCTGTTTAATAATGACTTTACAAAATTTGTCTTATGTTCTCTCTTTTTTAAATTGTGTATGTGTTCATGTGTGTCCTTTGACTCTGGGACTCTTGTGAGCATCCCTACCAGAAATCTTGAGCCTTTGACCTCAGATTGGGCTCCCTGTCCTTTCCAAACTGGTTCTGGCATTTCCAACTTCTTGGTCTGACTTCTCTGTCTCTGGCTATCAGGAACTTTTCACTAGTATCTTCATGTGGCCCAATACCCTCATAACTCATGATGTTTAGTGATGTTCTCTCTGTCTCATTCTGGCTCGTGTGTGTGTGTGTGTGTGTGTGTGTGTGTGTGTGTGTGTGTGTGTGTGTGTGTGTGTGTGTGTATTTCTGTGTCTGTGTGCCTGTGTGTGGTGTTTCTGTCTTACCCTCAGCCCTGTTTTACTGGAGAACCCTGAAAAAATAAAGGAATCTAAGAAACAAGATACTATGCTGAAGCTACTGAGAAAAGAATCTGAGTTTCACTGGGAGAGAGTAAACAAGTCATTATGCTGTAAAATTACTCATCTTGTTTGGGTAAAACTAACTATAATGAAATAGTTGGAGGTAGTGAATATATAGTTTGTAATTCTTTATTACTTTCTTCTTTCTCTCTTTATAATTTCTTTAAAAAAATGAATCTCCATTAGTTGTATTCAGAGGCATCAATGAAAAGTGTCACTTAACTTTTCAACTTTTTTTTTTTCTCAGCAGATAATACTTCCTAATGTTGTCAGGAAGATCAACTCAGTTAGTTAATGAGAAGTGCTTGTTACCGCCTGAGCACTGAGTGAATATTGGTTGTTACTCTCTAACAGGCATGGACACAGTCCAGTGTTCTAGTGACCGAGAATTAGCTCACCAGCTTCAGCAAGAGGAAGACAGGAAGAGGAAATCTGAAGAATCAAGACAAGAAAGGGAAGAGTTCCAGAAGCTGCAGGTACAAAGATTAGTAACAGTTTTACTGAGTAGAGTTCTTATTTCCCAAATAAGCTTTTGAGATGTCAACCTATATCTGGAGATATGGCTCTACCATTAACAGATAAGATTCACAGCCAAAAAGATTTCTACCTAGCCTGTCCATGTTATGTAAAAACTGCTTGTATCTGTGTACTTTATAGTTTGTTGGGGTGGGGGGGGCTCACTTAAAAGTAGCTATTCTCCAAAGCTGGAGAGATGGCTTAGCAATTAGGAATGCTTGCTGCTCCGGCAGAGGACAGTTATAAGAGTTGTAGAATTATAACTGCTTATAATTCTAGCTCCAGGTGATCCCATTTCTTCTTCTTACCTTCACAGTCACACACATATATACACACACAAAAAAATTTAAAAGATAAATAAATAAATAAGTTGTATCCATTCTTGACTATGTGGCACATGCCTTTAGTCCCAGTGTTAGGGAGACAGAGGAACATGAATGAATCTCTTGAGTTTGAGACCAGCCTGGGACCCATCTCCAAAAAATCCCCAAACAAAACAAAGCAGTGTACCATCTGTTCAGATACTAGAATAATCATTTCAGGTAAAATATGTGAAAATGTTCACAGAAAACACACAGGGGTTTGTTGTTTTCTTTTTTCTTTCTTTCCTGTGTTTAAATGAAGAATCAAAGTAAAGAGTTTAGTGATTTGCCCCAGATTAGACAAAGATTAGGTAGAAAAATGTTCATGTAAAACTATGTAAATGAGGGGCAGATCATGATAGTGTACTAAGAATCCGCCTGTCTGTTTACTTAAAATTATTATGTATCTCTCCTTAGTCTTAAATTCCCTTAAAGATCACAATTTCTGGATTGGAGAGATGGCTCAGAGGTTAAGAGCACTGGCTACTGTTCTAGAGGACCCAGGTTTGGTTCCCAGCACCCACATGGCAGCTCATAATTTCAGACATTTTTATTTAATGAATGTTCAGAGGTTGGTGTTTCATGATGTTTGAGGGCACATTTTCCTTATGTGAGTGTAGTAACTATTGGATTAAACTTGCAGCATCTGAGGATTTTTAATGCATTAAAAATTTTAATGCATGTTTCTTCTTTTTCATTTCTAATTTGTGGACTATGGCTATTTGTACTGATAATGCTTGTAGAGTTTTTAAATGTCATTTGTATGTGTTAATAGACTAGTATAAATATAAAGGGTTTGTGAGTGAATAGATCTGAAAATGTTCCCAGATTTACATACATCTGAAAGGCTTTTTTTTTTCTCTCTCTCAGACATCTTATTCATGACTATTTTTCCTTGAAATGAGTTTTGGAAGATCTTAGGGTTTTTACCACCTCACAATTCATTAGTTATTCATTTATAATTTAGGATTTTGACCACCTCACAGTTCACTAGTTCTTCATTTATTTGCAAACTGCTTTTCATATCAGAATTCAGATGAATGAGAAGAATTGTTTTTTCTAAGTCTTTTTCTTGCCGTCCACACTAGTTCTACAGCACCGCAGCCATGGTTGTCTACATTAACAACTTAAGGGAGGGATAACTAATCTGGACTCACAGTGTCTGACCATCATGATAGGAAACACATGGAAAGACCATTCACATGACGGTGGACCAGATGTGACAGGAACCGAGCCTGCTCCTTGATGGCCTCCTTTTGCCAGGGAAGCACAGCTTTCCACACGTCCACAACCTCCCCAAACAGCACCTTGGTCTGGGACATAGTTATTCAAAACACGGCCTGTTGTTTGGGTACAGTGCCTTTTGAGTATCAGCAATAAGAAAGTCCCTAACATTTAAGGAGTTTTGTTACTGTGTTAGTTACTTGTTGCTGTGATCAGATGCCTGACAAGAAGCAGCATAAAGGAGGGAGCCTTACAGTTGGGGGGGATGCAGTCTGTTAGAGCAGCAAGACATGGCAGGAGGAATGGGTGCTCACACTGCATCCACAGTCAAGGAAGCAAGAAAATGGTTACAGGTCTCAGTTCACTTTGTCCTTTGTATTCAGTCTGGAACCCCAACCCATAGGATGATGGTGCTGTACACATTCAAAATGGGTTTCCCACTTCAATTAACCAAATCTATAAGCTATCTCACATTCATTCCCCGGGGTTGTTTTCATGGTGATTTTTGTTTTTACGCGTGTGTGTGTGTGTGTGTGTGTGTGTGTGTGTGTGTGTGTGTGTGTGTGTGTTCCTGTGCCCAGTGCCATAAAGCACACGTGGAAATCAGAGAACACCCTTGGGAATCAGTTCTCTCCCTCCACTATGGGTTTCAAAGATCTAATTCAGGTCATCAGCCTGGCATGGTAAACACTTTTACACACTGGGTCATTCCAGCAGCTCTTCCTGCTGATTCTAAATCTCCTCAAGTTGACAGTCAAAACACTGCAACTCTGCCATTTGTCAACTTGACACCCAAACACATCATTTTTAAACCATAGTTTTCCACCACTTGTCTCCTGTGACTATCCATCAGTCCAACCTCAAAAGTCCCCATAGTCTTTAATAATGTCAGGACTGTTCGAAAGTGTAAGTACGGAGTCTCTTAGCACACTCAGGAGGCACTGTCTTTTTTTTTTGAGACAGGGTTTCTCTGTATAGACTTGGAGCCTGTCCTGGATGGGATCTCGCTCTGTAGACCAGGCTGGCCTAGAACTCACAGAGATCCACCTGCCTCTGCCTCCTGAGTGCTGGGATTAAAAATGTGTGCTACCACTGCCCAGCTTCAGGCACTGTCTTAACTGGAAATTCCTATAACATTACAAAAAAAAAAAAAAAGTTTCATGCTATCTCATAATGTACAATGCATTCATTTTTACTTCAGAAGATCGTATAGTCTCTAATACAGTACTGTTCAAAAGTCAAAGCACAGAATCTTTTGTGAGGCTCACACAATCTCTGAACTGTAAGCCTCTCTAATATTACAAAACAAGTTTCGTGCCTCTACCATATGATGGTACAGAATAGATGTTCTGACTCCATAAAGGAAGAATAGGGACATAGCAAAAGAAATATCAGACCAAAGCAAAACACAGCCCAGCAGACCAAGCACCAAAACCTGCAGCTCCATGTTAGGCATCTGGGCCTCGTGATGGACTCACTGGGCTCCAGAGGGCTTGGGTAGTCCTGCCTCTCTCGCTCTGCTGCCTCTAACACAAATAGCCTTTCTTTTGGACCATTTCACTCTGCCTACAGCTTTCCTCAGTAGATGTCCTGTGGCTCTGTCATCTCCAGCATCCTAGGATCTCTATTACAACTTATGCTTTACCTTCACAGCTTTACCCACTGACCTCTTGGGGCCTTCTTGCTGTGACTGCTGTGGGAGGACCCCGCCACACACTCATGGCCTCAGTGGCTCTCTAGACCCATGGTGCAAGACCCAGTGAGTCTCGTATCATTCATGCCTGCAAAATCACCACTTTGACAACACTCAAATTCTGTTACTTTCTTGGGATGGAGCCTGGCCCCTTGGACCATAGTTGGCATCTGACCTTGAGTGTCAACCATGGGAAAACACTTTCCTACATGATGGTTTTTGATTAGGGAACCCTTCAGTGGCATTCTCAGTTTAGGCCCTCTCCTTTGGAATGAATTGCCTTTCTTTTCATTAGATAGAGCCTTTAGTGGATATAAGTAAAGAATCTTTCCTGTTGTCTCAGGGCACATTTCTCTCTTAATGTGCTTGTCTCTGTAACAGTTATCTTAGTTACTACTGTATTGCTGTGAAGAGACACCATACCAAGGCAACTCTTATAAAAGAAAGCATCTAAGTGGGGTCTTGTTTACAGTTTCAGAGGGTTAGTCCATTATCGTGGTGGGGAGTATGGCAGAGGCAGGAAGACTAAGAGTGGGAATTCACCTTGATCAGCAGGCAGCAGGCAGAGGGAGAGCCTGGACCTGGCATAGACTTTTGAAACCTGAAAGTATACCCCAAGTGACACACTTCCTTCAACAAAGCCATCCCTACTCCAACAAGACTACACCTCCTCATCTTTCCCATACGGTTCCACTAACTGGGGACCAAGTCTTCAAACGTAGAGCCTATGGGGCCATTCTCATTCAGATCACCACAACAATTAACTGCTGCTTAAAAAATAAAAGTTATTTGTGGGTATGAGTGTACACATGCCATGGCAAGCATGTGGAAGTTAGAGGCAAACTTCTGGGAGTTGGTTCTCTCCTTCCAACATAGGGTGTGAGGTTCTGAAGTCAGATAATCAGGTTTCAGAAGCAAATGTCTTCACCCACGGAGCTATCTCACCTGCAGCTGCTTTCATACCTGTTTTGTCTGTAACTTTGAGCTAACACTTTTCCTTACCACTTCGTTTTTCCAGCGCTCTGTCTACCTTGTGCTCTACAGTAGACCTACATAAGGGATAAGCTGTAATCATGATGCAGTCTGAATGCTGTCTTGTCCTTACCGGTTCATGACTCCTTCAACTTGAGTCAAGTTCTTAGCACACAAGCAGGATGAAGCTGAATTCTTTGCCAGAAGATATCCTGAATGGCTTCTAGCCCAGTCTGCCTCCGAAACCTCCTGAGCCAGCCAATCCTCCACTCTACATTTTTCCTGGCATTCTGGTCTTCCCATTCTATCAGAATGGCCCCTTACGCCCTGCTTACAGTATTCTAGGGCTTTTTGAGCCTGAAGTTCCAAACTCTTCCACAGTGCCCCTCAGACAGGTTCCGGAGACCTGAGAACTCTGTAGTTGTTTCCTCCAGTAGACGCCCACTCCTTCAGCGTTCCTACACCTCACTTGGTGCTTTGCTCAAATAACGGATGAGAAGCACCTTAGGGAAGGTGGCTTTCTATGAACAGGCTGAGGAAGGTGTGGCTGCTGGTCACGTGACATTCACAGCCAGGACGCAGGGACAGATGAGCGAACATCTTGATCCTTTTTATTCAGTCTGTGAATTACAAGGGATGGTGTCGTGTTTAGGGTGGGTTTCCTGTCTCTATTAGCTCAATCTAGACAGATTCACAGACATGCCCTGAAGTGCTTCTATAGTGAATTTAAGTCCCTTCAACCCTGATAATCAAAGATTAACCGTGACACAGGTGTAGCTTTGTAAGTTGTTTGGACCTCAGGAAGCTTATTCATAAAGGCAGTTTATGTGTTTGAGTCTCAGTCCATTTTGCACAAACACAGCCCATTTACTCTGTAGCATGATTGAGTGATTTGTGGGTAAAATGGGACTCTGGGAATTAGAGTTGGTCCCTTTACCAGCTGTATCTTTACAATTTTGCCTTTCACAAGACCTTTAGCAGAAAGATGGGTCTTTCATTCCTATACTACCAGGAAAGCAACTAATTATTTATAAGAGCTACAAAAGCTTACAGAGAAATATCTAATTATTAAGTTATGGATGTATGGTTTAATTTTCATAAAAATCTTTACAGTTACTTGTATGAAAAATTCATAAACCAGACTATTTCAATGTACATTTCCAAAAATTAAAAACCAGTTGTAAGTTTCCATTTGGTTGAAGTACGGGGGGCACAAAACTAAGTTATTTGCTTTTCTGTTCAATAGCGGCAGTATGGTTTGGATAACTCTGGAGGTTACAGACAACAGCAGCTGTGGCATATGGAGAGAGAAGTAAGCAGGGGAAGAATGCATCCCTCTGAATTTCATAGCAGAAAAGCCGACATGATGGAATCAATAGCTGTTGGTATTGATGATGGAAAAACAAAAACTTCCGGTGAGTGCTTAAAACTCCAAGCTGCAGTTTCATATTGCATACACCACTGCATCTATCACTCGAGTTTGCTGAATTTTCAGTCAACAGTTTATTTAGATAGTTTCAGGTGAGATTGTATGTTCACACTTTTTTCCAAAAAGTTTAAAACTAAACTTCTATTTTTATAGTAAATAAGTCACTTAAAATAATTTAGTTTCGGACTGGAGAGATGGCTCAGAGGTTAAGAGCACTGACTGCTCTTCCAGAGGTCCTGAGTTCAATTCCCAGCAACCACATGGTGGCTCACAACCATCTGTAATGAGACCTGGTGCCCTCTTCTGGCCTGCAGTCATACATGCTGTATACATAATAAATAAATAAATCTTAAAAAAAAAAAAAATAATAATAATAATTTAGTTTCTATTGTGTTAACTAACAGCAATGGGGAATGAACCTTTAGGGTTTTTAAAAAACATTTTTATTAGCATATATTAATTATATGTAATATGTTTCATTATGATATTTTCATACAGGTATGTAATATATTTTGGTGACACCCCCCACCACCCCACCACCCTCTTTGGTCCTCCTACTCCTGCTGCACCCTTTATTCCTTTCCCAGCCTGTGTTTACCACGACCCCTTGACCCCCTCCCACATCTGCTTCCAGGTGTTTTTTTAATCTGTTTGTTAGGTTTACTTAGTTTTGGGTAAGGGTTACGTATAGGGACATAGATAAAGGGTTATTTACACAGCATGGGTCAGGGAAAAGATGTGAGTTTCACCACTCTCCAACCCCCAGGAACCATCAGCTTCCTATAGATCTGAGGGAGGGGAGGGGCCTTACGAGCTCCCAGCTAGCAATGGGTTAATGTCTGTAAATCCTCAGAGAAGGGTGGGTCCTTGTGAGCGCCTCTCTCCTCTGTGACAGGGTGTTGGCAAGCTCAGTACTGTTGCAATCGTCACTGCTGCTTAGTTGGAAAGCCCCCAACCCTGCCATGCCTGGGAGACAGCTCTTCTGTTTCTCAATCCCCCTTCCTTGATGTTTGCTGAGCCTTGGAGGGGTTGATGTAGGTATCCCATCTAGGACTGAAGAGGAAATAGTCAGTTCTTTGCCTAGTTACTGACACCCACTACCAAACACTAATCTATGGATGTAAATATAAACATTTAGAAGACAGGTCAATAGCATAGCATGTCAGTTTGGCAAAACTTGCTTTCCTACCAGGGCTGGTGAGTTCCCTACCCAGGGGGCTTTTGGCAGTGGTTACATCACCAAACCAGACTTTGCTCTTGTAGATACACCTTTAATCCAGTCAGAAAGTGCCTGGTTACCCCAAAGCAGTCATGTCACTGAACCGTTAGCTTAAATTATTTTTTGTCTGAACACATTACAAAAACATAATGTAAGCCACCCACAGAATTTTACATCTCTTAGAGACACATTAAAGGGAAAAAAAGCCCCATAAAATTAGAGAAGCATTTCAATTTATGGTAGATTATGTTTTGATAAATCCATTTCAAGTTGAAAATATTATAAGTTAAAATTGCATTTTGTATATACCTAGCCTACTGGACACAATAGCTTCCCAAGATGTTACACTGTTCACCCGGGCGGTGGTGGCGCACACCTTTAATCCCAGCACCCGGGAGGCAGAGGCAGGCAGATATCTGTGAGTTCGAGGCCAGCCTGGTCTACAAAACGAGTTTCAGGAAAGGTACAAAGCTACACAGAGAAACCCTGTCTGGAAAAAAAAAAAGATGTTACATTGCTCATTCTGCAGTTACCTTCCTAATGTGGTGACTGACTGGAAGCACTCTGTGGAAAGTAGCTTACTTCATACCTATCCATAGTTCAGGAACACTTCAACAGTCAAAGTGTGGTTTCTACTCAACGTGTTGCTTTTGCAGTGAAGTTTAAGAAAATTCCTATTGAACTGTCCTAAGTCTAAATCCCACCTTCTAATAGTTTAAACCTAGTATCTACAGCATGATTTCAACATATTGTCAGTATGAAGAGGGGTTTTTCCATAGTGTAATAGTTACCATGCTCATCTCACAAGAACTATTAATTGAAATGTTTTACACTCTTTGTATAGTCTTCCAATTTTTTTTATATTTACTGCTTTACAGCACATTTCAGTTAGATAAGCTACAGTTCAAATGCTCAATAGCCTCGTGTGTCATGGCCACCCTGTTGCTCATTACATTTTTGGATACTAAAAGCAGTGTATACATTGTTTCTTCTGGGCCCAAATGAATATTCTTATGTACTTGATATTTACAGTGTGTGTAACTTGTCTAGGACTTGCATTGTCCACTAGCTGTAGGGCTAGCTAGTATTAACAATCAGATCTGCCTTATTCAAGATGGTATGTCTCTTTCTCTGGTGAGTGGCTTTTTTTTTCCAATTATGTTTTTTTATGTTTACTAAGGTACTAACACAGTTTATGTGGAAGCAGTTGCATTCCATGACTAGATCTTTTTTTTAAAGGCATGATCTCACAGGGCTAGAGAGATGGCTCAGTAGTTTAGAGGACTTTTTGCTCTTAGAGAGAACCCAGTTCAACTCCCCATACCCACATGGTAGCTCACCACAGTCTGTAACTCCAGATCTAGGGGATGGAGATGTGTGTGTGTGTGTGTGTGTGTGTGTGTGTGTGTGTGTGTGTGTGTGTGATTTATTTATTTATTTTTAAAGACATGATCTTATTATATAGCCCATTTTGTCTTGCAACCTGGCTTTGTAGACCAGCTGGTCTTGAACTCACAGAGATCCACCTATCTCTGCCTCCCAAGTTTTATGATTAAAGCCATGTACCACTGTGCCAGACCTGTATATGGATCTTTAGGTAGAAGTTTTAAATTTGAATATAATCATATTTCTCATGTTTTTTGGAGGGAAGTTTGAGGCTCGGTAGCACAGGCTGGAATTCACTTGTTAGCCCTGGCTATCCTTAGACTCTTAGCAAACCTCTGCCTCATCCTTCTAAGTGCTGGGATTGCAGGAATGAGCTACCACACACAGATCTGTCAGTTGTTGTCTTGATTGTGTGTGTTCTGTTTGTCTTAATAAGATGGAAGGGTTTCTTTAAAGATCACAAATGTGCATTCTTTAAATATGCTATTTATATTTTTATTTTAAAAATATATTACAGGTGTAGAAGTTTCACCTGCATGTATATCTGTGCACTGCTTAGTGCCTGGTGCCCACATGGGCCAAAATTGTGCATCAGATCCTCTAGAAGTGGAGTTACCAATGGTTTTAGCCACTACATGGGTGCTAGGAATTGAATCTGGGTCCTCTGGAAGAGTATCCGTGAGACAGTTCTACAGTCCCTATATTTTTATTTTTAATCTACCTAGTATTGGTTTATTAAGGGGTCAGGGTGGGAATCGAAGGATCAATGTTATGTTTGCCAGCACTTATATATGACAGAACTAGTTTCTATAATATCATTTATTGAGTCTGTTTTCCCTGTAAAGGTGTCAGATCCCCTGGAGTTTGTGTTACAGTGTGTTTGAGCTGCCCAGCGTGGGCACTAGGAACTGAACTCACGTCTTTTATAAGAGTAGCAAATGTCCTTTTCTGCTGAACCATCTTTCCATGCCAAAAATCCATGGCAAAGATTTTTATGTTTTTGTGAATTATACAAGTGTCTATTAGATCAGTCATTATTTAATACCCCTTTACATATTTACAGCCTTGTTAATTTTAACAATAAAATATAATTTAACAAGATGTAGCTTTTTTAAAAAAAACATCTAAGGAAATTTAGGAATAAAAAATACTTGTTATAAGAAAAAAATTTTCTTTAATGTGGTTGTATGATATCATTGCTAAGACAAAAGTTACCAGGAAATGAGGTATTTCTGTCTTATATGTAATATGCATGCCAGAGTATACTTGAACATATATTACTTTATTCTTTTAGGTTTTCCCCTTTTTATTCTTAAAGGACTGTCTTAAATCTTGATCTCATCTGAGTCAACATGTATCTTTCTGTTCTGAGAGTGCCTGTTCCATGTCATTTCATCATTTTTTTCTCCATGTGTAAACTCAATACTCAGTCACAAGTCATTTCATTCTTCTTTGTCTTGAATGTGAGTCTTGTTTAAGTGTATATTTTCTAAGATTGATATCTGACTTCTGCTCTTCATGATAGTGGCATAGCTACAGCTATTGGTTAAAGGATTGTTTTGATTTATTGTTTTGTTTTTTACTTGTCTCCCTAAAGACATATTTCAGTGTATTCCATTCAAATAAAATACATATAATGACTTCTCTTTTTTCATGCCACATACCATGAGAAAGCATGAACCACAGAAAAGTCATCACTGCCCATTAGCTTCAAGTTTTTAAAGGAGGCAAAACGTACACAAAGAACTGTAATGTTCTGCTGTGACAAAGTATGACTGGAGAAGTAGGGTCAAGAAAAAATAAATGCACTGGTTGTTTTTAAGAGTCAGAAGAAGGTAACTTGAAGATGATGTTTGGTCCTTATAGGTTTTTTAGAATTCTAAATGGAAAAATATTCTAAAGGGAAGAATCATATGTAAAACTTGTCCAAATACCTTGCTTAATGAAATTCTAGCACTCTAGTCTAGGGCCATATTTCTAGGGATATTGTCCCATTTATCTCTCTTTGGTTAGCACTTACTATCCTGTTATATATACAAAGTACAATACTGAAGTTAAATTAAAACTCATAGGCAGGATATTTCATTGTGAGATCACAAACAAAATTATGTCCAGAAGAATAAAAAATGGAGGTCAGATGGAGGACCCTGGCATAAGCTTTATGTGCTGAGGATTGGTACTGATGCTGTAGCCTCTCAGGAGATACATACTTTAGATGGAAACAGATTAACAAGTCTTCGCAAGCTGCAGTGGTGCATGTAACAAATGGAAAGACAAGAAGAGTATTCATTCTGTGGAGGTGCTTTTGTGTCCTGGGCTTTGCAATTGAAGAGCTTAAAGATGCAGACAACTTCAGTTCAGTGCAGGGAGTGCCATTTTAGTGTTAGAAAACTTGGGTTGTGGGCACAGTGAGAACATGAGCTAGGGTTGTAGCAGTGAGAAGATGAATTTAAAGTAGAGTTGGTAGGGTTTTTTGTGGAGCTTGAGGCTGATGTTAGATGTAAGCAGCCATGTAATGGTGATAACGAATCTTCCTAAGTATTCTAAATCTCTCCTATTTTAGGAATTATTGAAGCCCTCCATAGATATTATCAGAACACTGCCACAGATGTGAGGTGTGTGTGGCTCTCTACAGTGGTGGATCACTTTCACTCATCTTTTGGGGACAAAGGTTGGGGTTGTGGTTATAGAAATTTCCAGATGCTGCTTTCATCATTACTACAAAATGATGCGTATGGTGACTGCTTGAAAGGTATGTAAAGTACTGTTATCCTCCGAGTTTATAATATACAGAGGGTATTATGAATAAGTGTCATAGAAACTCTTGTGGGTTCTTAGTGGAATATATGTTACTACGTGATATTATTGTTCAGCTTATTAGTACCTGGCCTTGTGACTTGTTGGCTTACATAATTTCAGGTATGTCAATTCCTTGTATTCCAAAAATTCAGTCCATGATTGAAGATGCATGGAAGGAAGGTTTTGATCCTCAGGGAGCCTGTCAACTTAACAACAAATTACAGGGAACAAAGGCCTGGATTGGAGCATGTGAGATTTATACACTTCTGACCTCACTGAGAGTAAAGTATGTACCTGCTAACTCCAGTTAATATTATTATATTCATTTGCAAATTACCGGCATTAAATTTAGTATTGACTAAAATTAAGTACCTTGGCTATTTTTTCCATGCTGTGATAAAATATGCTGACCAAAGCAACTTAAGTGAGAAAGGGTTTATTTTGGCTCACGTTTCAAAAGATACAGTCCATCGTGGTGGGGAGATGGGGAAGGCATAGAACAGGAAGTAGACTGGCTGTCACATTGCATTGGCAGTCAGGAAGCAGAGCTTCAACAGGAAATGGGAACCTGCTGTCAAGGTTCAGGGCATGCCTCCAGTGATCTGCTTCCTCCAGCAAGGCTCCACCTCCTGCAGTTTCCACAACTTTCCCAGATAGCACTACCAGCTGAGGACCAAGTCTGACAGGAGCCTACAAGGGACATTTCACATACAAACTATGGTGGAAACTATTAACAGTTCTGAATATTTTTGAGGTTTCATTGCCGTGAGAGACAAGGATGCATTGTTTATGCTGGGACTTAAAATAATCAAGCTATTAAATGCTTTTGGTTACACTTTATAAAATATTTTTTGAGTAACATAGAAGTGAGCCTACTTCAACAACCTCATTTATTCAAGATGACTCCATTTAAAAGAAGTATACCACCATAGTCTGAGGCCAAGCAGGAGATACATGGATATGAAGGTGTGAACTCACACATTTTTTTATGCTCTTCACCAGTATTGTCTGTAACTGGAATTGAAGAAAATTGAATGTATTCAGAATATTTTTATATTTATTTCTGGAAAGTATTTAGAATGCTTTTAATGTAAAGAAATAACTGAGGATTAAAATCAGAATTCAGATTCTTTTTTTCTTTTAAAAAAATTACAAAAACCTGATCTATTTCTGTGTTTGCACTGTTATAAATTAGCTAGGTATAAAAAAATTTTGCTAGGAGTCAGTTTTCTTTTTTAATGAGCCTTAAAAATTGCTATTTTACTATTAAGTTATATGTATACTGCCTGTTTGTGTATATGTGCACATGAGTGCAGGTGCCTTTGGATCCCCGAGAGCTGGAGTTAACAGCCAGTTGTGACCAGATGTGGGTCTTCTGCAAGAGTAGTATGTGCTTTTAAGCACTGAGCGATTTCTCTAAGTTCCCGAGTTTTTTGTTATTATGTATGTGTTGGAGTGTGCATGTGGAGGTCATAGACAAATGTGTGGAGTTGGCCTCTCCTTCCTCCCTGATGTGGGTTCCAGGGATGCAGGTCACCAGGTCACCAGGCTTGCAGAGCAAACACTTTTCCTCATGGAACCATCATCTCACCAGCTCCAGAGTCAGTTTCTAGTTGATGATCAGGGATAGAGACAGTAGACCAAAAGTGACTGTGTCCTAGACTCTAGCACGTGGGTTTTCAAAGTCCAGCATGGCCCTCATTTGCTGTGCAGGGAGACTTTCCGTGTTAGGAAATCTTTGTAACCCTTAGCTCATCCATCAGTCTTAACATGAGTGGGGATTGGAATAATTGTTTTCCCCACAAAATGATAGTTTTTCTAAATAAGAGTAAAAATTATATTTACTTTTTTCTTCATAGCGAAGTAATGGATACATAAATTGGTTCTGAATTAAGTTTTTTTGTTGTTGTTGTTAGGATATTTACATTTATGCAGAAATTGTCTCTAAATTATCTGCTTTGTCAATTGTTTAGGTGCCGCATTATTGATTTTCACAAGCCAACTGGTCCTTCGGGTACACACCCTCGCTTATTTGAGTGGATACTGAACTATTATTCTTCAGAGCGGGAAGGGAACCCAAAGGTTGTGTGTACATCTAAACCTCCTGTCTATCTCCAGCACCAGGGTTAGTAGATCACACAGAAACGTCACTTTTAAGATAGCAGAGTGACTGTTGCTTAAGGGCAGGGCAGGATTGTAATAGTGGAGGTGACGGGCTGGGAGGGGCTGTTGTGACCAAATGTCAGAGCTGCTTGTAGTTCTAATACGTTCTTGGGTAACACAGCTCTTGGAGCCTTGGCACTTCCTGTGGCCTTTTTCTGGTTCACTGTTCTCATATTCATCCCTGGCCTTCTTCCTGTCTTTACCAACTCGTCACCATGTTGAGCCTTTCTAGACTGCACTTATTTAAACGTGCAAGTGTGTGTGTGTGTGTGTGTTCTGAACACACAGGAGCCCACACAGAGACTGCAAATGTGTATGTGTGTGTGTGTGTGTGTGTGTGTGTGTGTAGTAATAGATGTAATATATTAACTGTTACTTATACTTTGACTAGGTCACAGTCGAACAATTGTTGGAATTGAAGAGAAAAAAAACCGAACATTGTGTTTACTAATATTTGATCCTGGATGTCCGTCCCGAGAAATGCAGAAACTGTTAAAACAAGACATAGAGGCTGGTAGTCTCAGGCAGCTGCGGAAATCTGTGGGAAATCTAAAACATAAGCAGTACCAGATAGTAGCCGTAGAGGGCATTCTTTCGCCAGAGGAGAAAGTTGTAAGTATCTCAGTATTGGATGAAGTGGCTTAAAATTTTCTGTCTCGAAAAACCAAAAAAAAAAAATTTTTAGTTAAAATCAACGTTATCTCTTTTTACCTCCTCACAACTCATTCTATTTCATGAGATGACAAATACATTTGTCTGTAACATCACTGAATTTTGGGGATGGCCATTTTTAAATTTAGATGATACCTCAATGTCATTTAGTTGCTGAACTCATCTTCATAAAAAATTTAATTTTATAATTTTAATTTTTGATGTCAGGTAAGTGATCATTAGCAATAATGTGTTCTAAAAACAATCTATAACCTAACTCAGGTGGTCTTATTGATTATTAAATTTTGATTCTGAAGCTGTATTTTATCCTTTTATCTTCTGATTATACTCAGTTCTAGAACAACTGTTGCCTTTATCCTTTGTAGTTATGTGATGAATTCCGAATTACTGAAGAATTTCTAGGCATTAGAACACCTCCACTGAGGTTGTGAGCTGCAACTACATCATAGCACACCAAGCCTAGAAAATGCATAAGATCCCAGATTGTAAAGATGTTATATTTTATTTTATTTTTAATTGCATGTATTTGTGTATGTCTGTGTGGGAGATTGTACATGGAGTGTAGCTCTCAGGGAAGCCAGAAGAGGGCATTAGATCCCATGGAACTGGAGTTACAGGTGGTTGTGAGCTGCTGCATGTGGGTTCTGGGAAATTCATTTGGGCCTCCTGCAAGAGCACACTGTCCTCATAACCATCGAGCACAGCTCCAGCCTGAGGTCTGGAAATTTTATGAGAAAATTAGAAAGAGTGCTTATTTGAGGACCTCATATTTGTTTCCCTCTAAAGACGAAACAGGGCTTGAGAGGGACTTGGGAAAGAACAGGATCAAAGGGAAAGGAGTAACATTTGAGACAGGAGCTAGCTCATCTCAGCTCACCTTGAAATAGAAATAACCAGGGTTGCTTGCTGGGTTACTCCATTTAATTATGCTTTAGAAGATTTCTTTGCAATGTCTCTAATCCCCAATTGCAGTCTCCTTTGTAATCCTATTGCTAGCTTGGCCAGATAAAGTGAGGGTTCGTTTTAATTCTTCTCAAGTGTCCTGATGCTTGCTTACCAGTGCACAGTAACTTTTGAGAGTGTAGTGGTGGTCAGGTGTTGCCATGGGCTCCAGGTGAACAACATCTTAGCTGGCTTTTATGTTTCCAGTTTTGGAAAGTGGGTCACTGTTGCTGTTAGAATACCAAACATGTTTTTTCTGTTCTTTACTTTTGACTTTGTTCCTTGGGGATTAAGGGCTTGTTAGACAGTAGCTGTGCCTTTAAGAATTATCAGCATCCTAAGCGCTTACATATATCAGTGTACATGACATCACTGTAAGGTAAATGGTTATCGTTCCCATGTTATAAATGAGGACACTTATAATGAGTGGTAAAGTCAGACCTGCAGTGTGGGCAGTTCATCAGTGCTCGGCTCTGTGTTGACTCTTGAAGGGATCTAGCCATCTATCTCTCTAGCCCAAGTTCTGATACTTTTTACTAAGTTTTACTAAATTATTTCTCTTTTCTTTTTGGTATTTCATACATGTATACAAGACATTCTGATTATTCTCACCACTGCCGCCTTTTCTGCTTCCCTCCCACCCCATCAGCCCACTCGTGGTTCTGGGGTTCTGGTTTTTTTTTTTCAAAAGAAAATTTTTTTTGAGGCAGGTGGCTGACCTGGGACTCATTATATAGACCAGACTGTCCTCAGAAATCACAGAGACTGGCCTACCTCTGCTTCCCAAGTGCTGAAATTAAAGGTGTATACCACCATGTCCCGCCTTATTCATAATTTTAAATTACACTTATTTTTTATTATTTTTAAACTTGTGTGTGGTATGTGGGTGTGTGTGTATGTGTGTGGGGGGGTGTGTGGGTGTGTGTGCAGGCAGGCAAGAGGACAGCATTTGGAAGTTGTTTCTCTCCTTTTACCGTGTGAGTGAGTCCCAGGCCTTAAATTCAGTTTATTAGGTTTGGCAGGAAGCGCCTTTACCTACTGAGCCATTCCACTGGCCCTGTTGTTACGATATTCTAATAATTGTTTACTGTTATTCACAAACAGAGGTTGACATTCAAAACTTGTTCTGTTCTTGACACTATCTTAAGATGTTTGCTGTGAGTATATTTTGAGTAGTTGTTTATTCCAGACCTGTCTAGATGTTTAAGCGCTTATTAGTTGAAGGAATAAATACCTTCTAATTAAGGTTACTTAAAAAATAAATAAACATGTCCATAATAGCCATTAGCCATATCCTCAATTTTAAGAAGATCTTATTTTTGTATTTGTGTGTGTGCCTGTGTGCACACCACACTCGAGTTATACCAGAATATAAGATGGCATCAGAAGGCATCAGACGATGGCATTAGAGCCACTGTGGCTAGAGTTACTGGTGGCCGTGAGCTGCCCAGTGTGGGTGCTGGGAACTGAGCTTACATCTTCTGTAAGAACAGCATTCTCAACACTGAGCAGTTTTCTAGCACCCTATTTTCACTTAAAAAAATTTTTTTCCAACTTTTGAGACAAGGTTTCATGTGGCCCAGGCCGGTCTTGAACTCACTGTGTAGCCGAGGTTAACTGTGAACTCTTCATTCTCTTACCTCAGCCTCCTGGATTATTGGTGTTTAATACCATGCCTTGCTCCTTTTCACATCTTGATGATGGTTGTTAATTTGCCTCACTACATTCTTAGTTTTTTATTATGTTATCCCACTACTTTGAATTTGATTTAACCAAATTGGTTAAGTTTAGCTTAGTTTAATATGCTTTAGTTTGTAACCCAAATTTGGAAGCAGCACAGTGAATGAAATTTTCTATTTTCTTTTAATATTTTTCTAACTCTGTAAGAATTTTTTATTTGTATATAATATATTTTGATCATGTTTTCCTCCCTCTATTCCCCCAACTCCTCCTAGATCCACCTCCACCACACACACAGAGTCCAGTTTGTGCTCATATAGTCCTGGGTATGAGACCAGCCACTGGAACATGGTCAACCTACCAGGGGCCACACCCTGAAAGAAAACTGACTCTTGCTCACCCCAAGGCTGGAATACTAACTCATAATAAATAAGGATTTTGTTGTTGTTGTTTTTGTTTTTGCTTTTGAGACAGAGTCTCACTCTGTAGCTCTGCTGTCCTGGAACTCACGATGTAAACCAGGCCCACCTTGAACTCACAGAGATCCACTTGCCTCTGCCTTCTGAGTGGTGGGATTAAAGGATTTTTGAAGAGACGTGGTTAGGGTGCTAACGAAGTAGCCAAGTTTTTCAAAGGTTCTTTGCTCATTGCTCTGTCTTCCTTTTCGCTTCTTTGGTCCCCTGGTGTTCCTCACACCTCCTCCCATCTAGATTTCTTTGTGAGCTAGCATTTGCACATTTGACATAGTCGTAACACAGTGCATAACATTCTGTTTCATTCTATTTTGTCTTTATCTAGAAGTTTCTTTATGACTTGACTTTTAAAATATGTAGTACTCATTTTTTAAGTTTTAGGCCATAATTTTCCACTGGGACTTTTCATTGTTAACTTGAAGAAAAAAATCCAGGTTTTATTTTCTGCATTAAGATGATAAACTACAGGGTTGACAAGATGGCTCGGCAGTCAAAGGTACTTACTGCCAAGCCTGACAAACTCTAACCTCAGGGTCCACCTGGGATTAAGAGATCTGACTTCTGTAGGTGTGCTCTGAGCTCTGTGCATGGGTGCACGCACGTGTGCACAGATAAAATAACAAATTAAAAGAATGATAATGTAGCATATGTAATTAATTTCTAGATTATAATTCACAGGCTGTTTTCTTCCCAATTCTTTTTCAAGGCCAGAAAACAGGCTTCTCAAGTGTTTACAGCAGAGAAGATTCCTTGAGTGAAGTATTTCGGTGATTTTGTACTGATCTTTTTTCTGATACAGAACTCTGATATAGTTGAAGAATTTGATTTCATTTAAGTCCTTGTTATAATATTTAAGTTGTAAATGCCTGTTAAGTTATACTTCTTAGTACTTCATTGTCTGGTAATTAGTTGAATAAAATACCTGGTTTGTGTTGTTGGTTTTGATTTCTTGTCCATGTCTCAGAAACTTGTTTTATGGTTATAAGCTAATATAAATGGGCCATTACTTGTATGAGTTACTCTCAGTACTTAACATCTATTAATACATTTACTTTTAAAACATTTGTTTGAGGCAAGTACTATTATTAGCCCCATGAAGGAAGCTAAGAGATTAGGGATTAGTCCAAGAATATATCAAGATGGAGCCCATACTGGATTTTCCAGGGTTGTGTTCATCAAGACTTCATTGCTGTGACAGGCACATGAATGTTCATCAGGGCTTCATTGCTGTGACAGGCACACAAGAGCCTCTGGTGAGGCAGAACACCATGGCTCTAGGCGGTGGTGCTGCTAGAGCAGAGCCCCTGACTCACTGTGGCCAGAAAGCAGAGGGAGAGGCAGGAAGTAGCCAGGAACAAGCTATATGCTCAGGAGCACATGCACAGTGACCTACTTCCTCCAATTCTTCTCCAAGAGTGACATCAGATAATCCACCAAATGACTGATCACTGACTAGGTCAGAACTCTTCTGGTCCAATCAACTCAATAACTGGATCTACCAGTTGAGTCTAAACTGAACAGATGAGCTGGGTTTTGGGTTTTTTGTTTTTGTTTTGTTTTTAAGTGGAGGAACACTTCTATTACCATATAATGAGAGCCCCTCCTCAATGTAGTAATCGCCTTAATATGTAACCAGCTCTAAAACCAAGGGTTCTCTTGTTAAATATTTCCACTAACCCTACATCTCTGATGAATGCCTTCTGGTTTTATGTGTCCTGTAGGAGGAGTGTGAGATTCTGGTCAGACATTCCTTGTATGCGTGTATACGAGAATCTGCTTACTCTGCCCAATAAACAAGGGAATTATTGAAAGACTTAGAAACTCACAGAATCTGTCGGTAACTTAGAGAAGTGGCTTGGAACCCATTCAAGTAGAGGCTACAATTTGGTGTCAATTATTAAAGCAGGAACAATCAAGTTAGAAGTTGTATAATGCTCAAATTTCAGATTATAAATAGAGTACATCTGATTGGTGTGGAACAGAAGTCCTCAGAAGGAATGAATACTGAGCAATTTAAAAAGGTTTCTACTTAAAAAAAAAAAAGAAGAAAGAAAGGAAGGAAGAAAGAAAGAGAAAAAAACCACAAAACCCTGTTTGAAGGTTTTTACATAATTTTCAGTCCTCCAGCCTCAGAATGAATCTCCCTGTCTTAATCCTCTATAATTTGTCTTTAATGAAGACAAGAATGTTCTAACCTTTACATGTGTTGGTGTGACCTAGTTCAATGCTCTTTCTTGCTGCTTTATAAAACCCAGCCTGTAGGAAAGCCAGTGAAGTCCTGAGGGAATGTGTATTGTTGACATGGCCATGCCCATATCAAGGACCAGTGTCTTAGCCCCATTGGAATGGCTACGCCTTCCCAGGTGAAGCTCAGCGGGGTGGAAAAGCCTTCCTTGGGTCTGAGTGTGAATATTAACAGTGAGTGCACAAAACTTGCAGCCTTCTCAACCCCATCCCATGTTTATGGTCTGAAGACTGTTAACCCTACAGAGACTTCTGTGCCTACCAAGATTAGTCAAACCTGCCTCCTTGTTCAGGTGCATACAGTAACCTTCCTCCTCCTCTGACGGTGTGCAAAAACCTGCCTCATGTTCAACTGTAAACAATAAAGACACTGAGATTGCCGGTTGCTGAGTTTTTCTCCATCAGAGAGCCCAGTTTTCCTGTGTGTCTGTCGTTTCTTCGTTCCCTCACCCCTATCAGATCAGTCCCTGGAGCCATGGTACCAGCCTTCCTACACGAGCCAGCCTCTGCTTGCCTCTGCGGGTTCTACACCCCCCAAAAAAACCTACACACACACACACACACACACACCCCTTTCACTGGAAGTTGTATTCACCCCCAAATCCCTTGCCAAAATGCAGCCCCTGCTGCTGGGAGCCCTTCACCATAGCGGTCTACGCAGTGGCTCTTTTTTTTTTTTTTTCCTTTTTCCTTTTTTCTTTTTCAAGACAGGGTTTCTCTGTGTAGCTTTGTGCCTTTCCTGGAACTCGCTTTGTAGACCAGGCTGGCCTCGAACTTACAAAGATCCGCCTGGCTCTGCCTCCCGAGTTAAAGGTGTGCGCCACCACCACCCGGCCTACGCGGTGGCTCTTATGTACTTAAGATCTTATGTACTTAAGATGTGGAGTAGACACACCTTCTGTGATTTACCACAGTGTCACTCAAAAGTATAGACCAGTGATCTCCAAAGTCCCATTCTATGATGAGGTGGAAAAGTGTGAATTGCTGATTGCTTTCTAAACATAACACAATTGATTCATTATTTATTATTATTATTATTTATTGTGTTTGTTTTTTTTTCGAGACAGGGTTTCTCTGTGTAGTTTTTGGTGCCTGTCCTGTAGACCTGGCTCTGCCTCCAGAGTGTGGGATTAAAGGCGTGTGCCACACACATACCCCAACCCCACCCCGCCAATTCATAATTTTTTAAGGATTTATTTTTATTTGTGGGTGTGTGTAGCCTGTGGAAGCTACAAGAGGTAATCGAATCTGCTGGAGCTGAACTTAAAGGGGTTGTTAGCTATCCAATGTGAGTTGTGAGAACTGAACTGTAGTTCTCTACAAGAGCGAGAAGTGCTCTTATCCTCAGCCAGTTCTCTGCCTCATAGAATTGTTTTTAATTGGTCCTTTAGTATAGAGTTTGAGAAGCACTGATCTATGGGACACACATTTGTATTAATTTTATATTTTCTTTTTTATAATCTCTCTTCAATAGAAGCAATGTTCAGGAGCAGTGCTAAGATTTTATTCGTAATCTCATGATGTCTAGTACATTTAGATTTTGAAATGCTGGGGGCTGAAGAGTTGGCTCAGAGGTTAAGAGCACATTTTGCTCTTGCAAGAGGACCTGTGTTCAATTCCCAGCACTCACACGGTGTCTCATAACCACCTATAACTCCAGTTCCAAGGCATCCAACGCCCTCCTCTGACCTTGGTAGGCATCAGGCATGCACGTAGTGCATTTACATACATGTAGGCAAAACACTCACACACATAATAAAATAAAGTTTCAAGCTCCTTTTTAATGAATGAAAATGTTTTAGAGTGGGAGCATGTAAGTCTAAAGTGTCTGGATATCATTACCTCCCATCTCTGTAAATTTTTTTCCCACCAACTAGTTTATGATGAACAAGAAGTTTGATGGGGAAGTTGAGGAAAACAAAAGCTCTAAAATTTGAATACTGTACAGCTTTTACTCTATTTCTGGAATTGTGAATAATACTCACCCAAAAAGAGGATAGATGCACATGCACAATATTTGCACACAGTACCATTGGCTCCAACATAAGTAGCTACAGATTTAAGAATATATACTCCAGTTCTGGCAGAGGCTAAATACTTGCTTTAGGTTAATGGTTAGAGATTTGTTTTTTGGATTTCTTTTATGTGCATGATTATTTTGCCTGTCTATAGTTTGTGTGTGTGTGTGTGTGTGTGTGTGTGTGTGTGTGTGTGTGTGTGTGTGTTACCCAAAGAGGCCAGAAGAAGGCATTGGATCCCCTAGAACTGATGGTTTTAAGCTACCATGAGGATGCTGGGAACTGAACCCAGGTCCTCTGCACAGCAACAAGTGCTCTTAACCACTGAGTCATCTCACCAGCCCCTGGTTATCAATGTTTTAATTCCATATCCATTGACATTCAAAATCTAGGCATTTCCAAGAAGCATTGTGAATTGTATCTTTCAGTGTTTGCCATATTAGAAATTAAATTTGAGTATTGTTGTAGAATATTATCTTAAGGTGTATTATTTTTGTTTATGTTGCATTTGTTTAACTCTGTGAAGCTGTGATACTTTGCCTGTCTAAAACATCTGATGATCTAATAAAGAACTGAACAGCCAATAGCAAGGCAGGAGAAAGGATAGATGGGGCTGGCAGGCAGAGAGAATATATAGAGGGAGAAATCTGGGAGAAAAGAAGAAAGCCTCAGAAGGAGGAAGACTCCAGGGGCCAGCCACCCAGCTACACATCCAGCAACAGAGTAAGAAATAATGAAAGGTATACAGAAATAGAGAAAGGTAAAAAGCCCAGAGGCAAAAGGTAGAAGGGATAATTTAAAGTTAAGAAAAGCTGACAAGAAACAAGCCAAGCTAAGACCAGGCATTCATGATTAAGAATAAGCCTCTGTGTGTGATTTATTTGGGAGCTGGGTGGTGGGCCCTCCAAAAGAGTAAAATAAAACAACACTGTGGTTCACACCTTTAATTTCAGCACTGGGGAGGCAGAGGCAGGTGGATCTCTGTGAGTTTGAGGACAGCCTAGTTTACAAAGTGAGTTCCAGGACAGCCAGAGCTATATAGGGAAAGCCTGTCCAGGAGAGTAAAAAAAAAAAAAAAAAAGAAAAAAAAATGAGATCTTTTCAAATCAAGACTACTTAAGTGTTAATTACTTTGATTATAGCTATTATAACAGTGATATGATCACTTGAGCTTCTGGAAAATCCACTGGGCAACTTTCTGTAAATGCTGACAGTTCTATATATGAAGTCTCCAATTTCATATGTTATTATTTTTTTAATTTTTGTTATTTTCAAGACTTGGTCTCCCTATGTAGCCCTGGCTGTCCTAGAACTCACGTAGATCATGCTGGCCTTGGACTAAAAGAGATTTTGGCTCTGCCTCCCAAGTGCTGGGATTAAAGGTGTGTCTCACCACATCTTGCTTTTAAAATATTTTTTAAAGATTGATTTTGAAAGCCGGGCGGTGGTGGCATACGCCTGTAATCCCAGAAGTTAGGAAGCAGGGGCAGGTGGATCTCTGTGAGTTCTAGGCCAGCCTGGGCTACAGAGTGAGTTTCAGGAAAGACGCAAAAGCTACACAGAGAAACCCTGTCTCAAAAAACCAAAAAAAAAAAAAAATTGATTTTGATGTGTTCAAGCACACATGCACATGTGCAGTAGTACCCATGGAGGACAGAAGAAGACGTAGGAATTCCTGGAGCTACCTGACTTAGGTGCTGGAGACTGAACTGTCCTCAGCAAGGGCAAAACTTTTCTTAACCACTGAGCCATGTCTCCACATCCCCTCCCCCATTTGATAACTTTAAAGGGATGATACTTTGTACCATCACCTCCAACATATCTGTATTTCCAATATATATGTATGTATATATAAAATCAGTTCCCCATAGAAGATTCCTGCGTGTGTGTGTGTGTGTGTGTGTGTGTGTGTGTGTGTGTGTGTGTGTGTGTGTGAGTGAGTGCCACATAAGACTGAGTTGATTTTATGCTAGTCATCATCATCCTCATCATCCTCATCTTCATCCTCAGTTCCTTCACTCTCCTCAGCTGAATGGACCACGGCCTCTTGTGTAGTCCTGAAAGCCTGTTCCTCATCCACACTGGGATCATCCATTTCTGTAATTTCTGGTCCACTGGGATACTCTTGATAGACTGGTGGTAGGCCTGGGGGCGTGTAACCCTCCACACTATATTTATGACCCCAGCCGATGTAGAAGTTTTCAAACTTCCTGTAAGAGAAAAGAAAATAAAGCCATGCCTCTGAAGAAAAGTTGACCCCTTTATTGTAATAATGTGTTGTTATTGTATCTTAGAACCATTTATTTTAACAAAACAAAGCATTTAAAAGGCTAGAGTGAAATAGTCCCCAATAATTCCTCAAGTACTAGAAATTATTTGTATTAAACTGCTAAGTTGGTTATGAAAAACAGGGCCAGATTCTGTCAAAACTGCACCCTATATCTAGACCTCCCTCAAGAAAGGGCCTTGGGTTATTCAATTATTTCATTTTTTGCAGACATTTTCTACAAAGTTCAAAAGTTGCTCGCCTTTGGCTGGATGAAGAATAAGAGCTATGGCTAAAAATTGACGTGTTATTTTTCAGGCCTGATCATAGGAAGGCGAGGCTTTACCTTGTAGGCCTCACCCCACTTAGGAAGACTCCCCATCCCACAGCAGATATGATGCATAACCAATTGAAAGACCCCTTTGCTAACGGGAGTTTCAGTCAAGAACTCTGCCCCCAAGGCTAGTCACGCATTCCTAACTCAAGAGCTTTCGTTCTTAGTGTTCTGTCTCAGGCCTGAGGGCCCACCCATGAGATGACCTCATGATATCCATATATCTGTGACACCCACATTCCTGCAAATCTGTTTGTTCTTTGGAAGAGAATAATGTGGGAGGAAAGGCAAACCTTTCTCTTCCTTGTGCTATCATGATAAATAATTAAAAGCTTGGCTTTTACTTGTTTTTTTTTCTTTTTTTCAGTATAATATTTTTATTATTTGGGAATTTCACATTATGCACCCTGATTACACTCACTTCCCAGTACTTCCAGGTCTGGTCCCCTAACCCTTGTGACCTACCCCCTCCAAAAAAAAAGTGGGAAAAAAACACAAGTCCAATTTGTGTTGCCCATATGCTCACTGTGAAAGACCCTAACCCTTCAGGCTTACACCCACAAGCCCCAGGAAATAAGAAACTAAAAATCTAGTTCCAAGGGCCACCTGACTCAGCTACTACTCAATCACCCCTGTAACAATATAACAATGTAAAAAGATTTCTGTTAAGAGATGTGCTCAACTGTGACTGGGATAGTTGCAGGTGTTCCAGGAAGGACCACTGTGACCTTTGTGTAAACTCCACTCCCGCCCTGATATCCCCCTTGAGGTTTCGGGAAAAATGTGCACACTGACGTAACTGTACCCACTCTGTGATCACTCTGTGACCAGACCATGTTCTTTGGAAACGAAATTGTATGGGAATTGTAATCTTATGGCTTTTGTGGGTTTTTCCTTTAAAAACCCTTATGTGGCTGCAGTAAGATGCGACTCTTTCTCTTGGGAGCAGAGAAGCCCTTCTGTACAGAAGCCTTAATAAATTCCACGTGCTGTTGCATCAACTGGACTGGAGTCTGGGTTCTTGGGGCGCCCACTTGAGACCCTAAACCTTTGGGGTCCAACAACTGGAGCTTGGTCAAACTCCAGTGGCCATTGGTTTTCACTTTTGACTTACTGTAGTTTTTAAATTTTTTTCATACAATATATTTTATCATATTCTTTCCTCCAACTTCTTCCAAACTCCTGCATCCATCCAACTCAATTTTCTTTCTTAGAAACAATGCATCACACACACACACACACACACACACACACACACACACACACACACACACACACACACACGGAGTGCATGGAGCGTGTTTTGTGTTGGCTAACTAATGCCTGAACATGAAGCTTGCTTTAATGGCTAGTCTAACCAATGCAGCTCGGCTCTCACCTGCTCAGTTGCGCTTTCTGACCCTAATTAGGAAAGAAACAGAAACAAGACAAATGGAACTGTGTTCTTTCTCAGCAAGGGATAAAGGAAGCTGTAGTAGTCTCTTGATCCTAATGCCCCTGAAAGTGATCACCTAAATAAAGTGTATTTTAAATAACTTTTATCAAAACACTCAACAAACATAATGTCTAATTCAATTGCATCTTAAACTCTCCACTAACTTAAATGAGTGATGTAAAACCATGTCCAATATAGATAAATGGGATAATTATGTGAAAAGTACAACCCTGAGTTACTCTAGCTCTAAACTTAATCTTTACTATATTACAGAAGTCATTTTAATAAATCATACACTATATATCTAACATGCCAAAGATGAATTTAGACAACAGTAACATGATTTCCAGAGCCTAAATATTTATAGTTGACATACACTGAGCAAGGCTAGCACCTTCAAAGTCAATGCCTATATTAATGTACTTTCAACGTGTCCTTTATTTGTATCTAAAGTTCTATCTGAGCATGCCCAGAGTCATTCCTGTCTAGGATTTAAGTCCCAAACCATGTTACTTAATCTTCAGCTAAACATGTCTCAAAACATATCTGTTATCTTTCCTTCCCAGATTATGACTTTTAATTGAATATGCTTGGGAATGTATTGCTTACAACCCAGCATACTATACTCAGGAGTGTCTTTACCCTGGGTGAGTATATGGGCTCCCTGAACAACATCATCATTCTTGATGGATTTTGATATTCTGCTTACCTGCTGTGGGTAAATATATCCTTTCTCAGCTTTCTGTTTTGGTGGAACTAGCTTTGGTTTTGCACTCACCAAAATATAAACTGTCTGAGTTTGGTTACATGTGGCTTTGTGAGCAGCCAGATACTTACTTGCCATTGGAAAAGGCATATGCTCCAGGCCAAAGATTGGATCGAAGGACAGCAATTGCATACTGCGGAATGAGATTCGAGGACAGCCGTGATGTCCAAGAGGGTATATTTTGAATATCTGGAACCCAATGAGAAAGTTACAAGCTTAACAACAAAACAGACAAGAATCTACCGAAAACTGAAGTGATTTTTATAAATATGGAACAATCACCAACATTCGCTATAAGAAGTTAAAACAGCAGCTTGGTATATGAATCAAGAGAGCATTTTTTGAGTGTTCTGGACCAATATAATTTTAAGCCTGTATATGTGGTATACATATATACATACATATATCTTATGTATAAATATATAACACAAACATATAAATATGTATTAATATTCTTGCTAAACAGAGACTTTACTAAAGGAGAAGTTTGTGTAGTCAGGAAATATTTTGATAACCAAGGGATAAGGCAATGCATTACTATGGAAAATGCTAGTAAGACTTGCAAGCAAAACAGGATAGGAAAAAACAATAGAGACAAGTATAGATTGGAAGTCAACTACAGACCACATTTGACATTTTGCCATAGCCATGTCATGTGTTTGTGGCATACAGAATGCCAGACCAGAATGACATCGACCTTTCCAGTTAGTGACGACCCATTCCTGTTTCTTCTGTACGCCACTCCTTCAGCCCTTTTCAAAGCATGTTAGTATAGCCAAAAGTACTCTTTACCCCCACCCTTCCAGAGCCCAGGAAGGAGAGAAGGGGTGAGACCTATCTCTCTGCCCCCCCCCCCCCCGTTTAGGGTTTCCAATGGTTGCATGTTTACCACACAATGTGTGTAATATATGGTTTATGAGTCCTTGTTAACAGTTGTATAAAGTTACCTAAATCTTCAGAGATTGGTGTCAAAAGAGGAGGCCCCACTTCCTGTTCTATGTAGTCAGGCTCCTCTCCTTTTTCTTCATCTTCTTCCTCTTCCTCTTCCTCGTTTTTTTGTATAGAATTGAACCAAGTACAGCGACCCTGGAGATGAACATTGCGAGGTTTAATGGATTAATGTGAACCTTACAAATGTCAGAGTATTCATATTGGTTGGTAGTTATCAAGATGAGGCTTCTCTGTGTGGGAAATTGGCCAACTATTCTGATACAGGATCACTTTCTACAGTCTTCTGCCTCAGTTTTTACAGTGCTAGGCTTGCCGACACATGCACTCACACTGAGCTTATTCATTCTGTGTACTTTCACCAAGTATTATTTCCATCTGGGTTACTTAAGGAAAAACAACAAACCTGTATTAGTTACTTCAGTAATTTCCATTTCTTGGATTTTCAGAACTTGAAGATGGATGCATGCTTTAAAATGGACAGAATCTTAATGGAAATGGTAGCAATACATTTAACTAGTTTGTAATACTTTATATAAATGAAATAAATGGTAATTTTTAAAAAGCATTTTTTTTATTTCTTTTGAAAGGTTCTAATTGATTTTATTGATATGTTAGTTTAGATTAGAAATCGTAAGAATGGTTTTAAGATCATTTAACATTTTAAAATCCAATCATTAAAGCCAGGCATGATGGCACACACATTTAAGTCCAGAATTCAGGAGGAAGAAGCAGGTAGATCTCTATGTGTTCAAGGCTTGCCTGATCTACATAGCAAGTCCCAGGCTAGTCAGGAGTACATAATCTGATCCTGTCTCAAAAAATAAAAATCTATCATTGTAATTCCCTCTGTTCTGAAGGTGTGTGTGTGTGTATGTGTGTGCGCGTGCGCGTGCGTGCAGGTGTCTATGGAGGTCAGAAGAAGATATGAGATAGCCTAGAGCCGGAGTTCAGGCCATTGTGAGCCTCCTGTCAAGGATACTGGGAACCAAACTTGGGTCTTCTGGAAGGGCAGCAAGCACTCTTATTAGCTGGGCATCCTTATGTCCAGTTCCTATACTCCCTTATTTATAGAATATTTCTAAAATATTAATAGTTGTAAGGCATTGCCACAATAGCCTTGGTGAAATGGTTTATAATTGTACATATCTAGCCTTCACAGTACTTTTTGTTTATTTGTTTGTTTATTTTGTGGGGTTTTTTTTTTTTGAGACAGGGTTTCTCTGTGTAGTGCTGACTGTCCTGGAACTCACTCTCTAGACCAGGCTGGCCTGAACTCAGAGATCCATCTGCCTCTGCCTCCAGCTTGCTGGGATTAAAGGTGTGCACCACCATCACCTGGCCATAGTACTTTTTAAATATTTGTTTTTATTAGCATATAGTAACTGAACAAAATAATGTTTCATTGTGATGTTTACACACAAGTATATAATGTATTTTCATCACATTCAGCCCCCATTAGCTTCTGTTGTTTCCCCTTCCAATGCTAATTATTATTAATAACGACATTTTAAATGTGATAGGACTGGGGTCCTAATTGCTCAGGTATTAATTCTTATCTAGAGTACTCAGAAGCACCTTTTGTCTAGATGGAAGTGAAGATTTTCTGCTCGTGATGGAGAAGCAAAGGGATGTTTCAGGAGAAGGGCTATGGGTCCTTTGTCTCACACCTCACTCTATAATCAGCTAAGGTTGCTTTAGCATTTTTCCCACTTTGCCTGCCCCAACCCATCATTGTAAAATAAAGGTAATCCTGCAGGCTTCATGGAGTTGTGGTGAGAATCATATCATATGTGTTTACATACATAATTGGTTACATGTAGTGTCTCTGGCACAGAGTCTCTATATAACCGCTGTACAAAACTGGTTTTCAATTCTGTAGTAATCTTTTAATGTTCTTGAACATAAAAGCTTCATGTAGAATAAAAGAACTGTTGACAAAATTAATGCCCATCAATATTTACAGTATAGCAGATTATTTCAGAACACGCGTAAATCCAAGTCTATGTACTACCCGAATACTCCCCTACCTGAGGAAGAATGTACTGCACATGATGAACCCAATTGGATAGAGATTCCACCAGGTCAACCACTTGGATGCCCTCAAAATCGGGGTTTTCCTCATAGCTATCTCGACCACCTTCCACCTCTTCTTCTTCTCCTTCCTCTTCACCAAACTGATAGAATCCTAGAGGGCTGACATGGGTCGCTGCTGAAATGCGGGCAATTTGGGCTCTTAAGTAATTGCTTTCATTTCCTGGGAAGGGTGGGTAGCTTATGATGGCCGCATCTAGTCGCCCAGTGAAAAATTTCTTGATTTTTCTTGCAGTAACAATTTGTGCAGGCGTAACTGATGGTAACTTCACCCACGGGCTTCCAGGCTCATTGCAAACAAAATAGACGTACTTGTTTGTACCTGTTCTACTGTCTTCCTTAGGGACAGCCTGTGGGGCCTTATACAAGGGCTTTGGTAATTCATCCTCCTCACCTTCCCCGGCTTCACTTTCTCCATCATCCCTCTCCTCAGCTACGCCTTCCTCTTCCACCTCTTCTTCATCTTCACCATCGCGGAATTCCACTTCAGCGACAATGTAATTCATTTCCAGACCCAAGATCTTGCCCCAGAAGCGGCATCTTTGGATTGGGTGTGTGTCAGTGAGTTGCTTGAGGGCAAGAAACACCCGATAAGTCTCATCTGTCCCCAAGCCAACTCCAGCTTGTTCAAAATAATAAGCTGACTCCATCACATTGGGCAGAGAGTTTTCTGCCTAGGAAAACAAATACAAATTTTTATTCATAAGGGGAATATTTGCTTCTTTTTTATGTCTTGATACTAACTCGACGTTCTCCTTTACTCTTTTTTTTTGAAGATATGCATGAAAATGTGTTAATCCCTAAACTTCAATTCTTCCCTCACACATAAAGCTTCTTACACCAGTTGTGTACTATCCTCATTGATATGATGATAGCTACTTTGTTTTCTATGACTCTTAAAAAGAATTTAATAATTACTAATGATAAAAATTCAAGCCAGGAGTGATGGTTCACACCTTTAATCCCAGCACTTGGAAGGCAGGTAGATCTTCTTGAGTTTGAGGCCAACCTAGTCTATATAGCAAGTTCCAGGCCAGCCAGGGCTATATAGTGAGGCTCAATCTGAAAAAACGTTCAACATTATTTTTCATACAAAATAGTGAATAATGCTAAAATAAGATACAGTTTAACTTGCAGAGACATATTTATAAACATTTGTGTTTGTTGTCATTAAATACATTAAAATATGTATTGAATTCGTGGCTTTACATGTATGTCAGGTAGATAACAATCTGTATAGTAACATGTAAAATAATGGGAAGGATAAAAAAGGAAACCATTTTTTGAAGTGCTTGGCATGATCTACACTTTAAAAACACAAATGCACTTGACAGTCTATATAGTAACAGCATTTGAAATAATAAACATAATTCCATGAAAGGAATAGAGGGAAATGAACACAGCGTGCTAAATGGACCAGAGAATAGCATTTACAAGACCAAAGGGAAGTACGGAAGAACCTTAACTGAAGCAGATGCTTCCCAGACAGTCTTGACTCACAGGATAGAGCAGTTAGGAGCACTCATTATTCTTACAAGTGACTTACTATTATTTATATTTTTCCATTGTGGTGTCAAAATAAAAGTAAGGACTTTTTGAGTTTTTTCTTTGGTTGTTTGGTTGGTTGGTTTTGATTGAGTATAGCCGTGGCTGCTCTGGAACTCACTCTCTAGTCCAGGTTAGCCTTGAACTCACAAAGATCTGTCTGCCTTTGCCTCTGGGATTAAAGCCACCTGGCCTGGCTAATGCATCTAATATAATGTAATACATTTAAAATCCTCACTTGTGATATAAGATTGCAAAATTCTTTCCCTGGCATGTAGAGTCTCCCTTGCTCTTGGCCCTGCTCACTTATCTACAACACAGTGGGGTCAGGAGCACAACTGTGGAGGTCGAAGGGCAATTTGCTGGAGTTGGTTCTGTCCTTAAGCATGTAGGTTCCAGGACTGAACCCAGCGAGGCCTTCAAGCATGACAGCAGGAGCCTTTTCCCTCTTTCTGGCCCTGATAGGAAGCTGTACTCTTCATCCTGTAACTCAGCCCCCGTACTCACAGCTGCTAGCCTGACCCTTTATTAGGAAGATGCTTGGTCAAGGGGTGGGGGGGTCAGGCGCCAGACTCAAAACAGCTATGTGTCTTCTCACTCACCTCCTATATCGGGGTGTAGAACCTGACCTAGTGAAGCTGCCTCAGACAGCCGAGAGCCCTGCTCCTATATTTAACACTGACATTTCTTTCTGAAGGTATTCCTGAGAATGTCTGCCATCTGTTGTGGCTCTCATCTACTGCTCCAGCACCATGTGTGCTGCCATGGTTTCTGCCATGATGATAACGGACTGAACCTCTGAAACTGTAAGAGAGACCCCAACCAATCACATGGCTTTCTTTTATGAGTTGCCTTGTTCATGGCATCTCTTCACAGCAATACAACAGTGACGAAGACTCAATCCATCCACCAAGAGTGGATGCCATATCTAATTATGCACCAAATAGTGACTTTCTAAAAAATGACAGACATCATATAGACAAAGGTCTCGTAAAATGATGAAAAATTCATACCACTTACTGACATAGAAGTCACCAGATGATCATAGTGAAATGCACTGGAAGGTTTGAAAGGATATAGAAAAATCTGATTCACATACTATTTACAGAGCTATAAAAACAGTTGGTGTGCTCATCGGCAAACCTCTTTCATCCCTGAGATTCCAGTGCTCATTAGTAGTATCAAGCTATTTGGCAATCACTTACTACTATTTACAGATCTATAAAATGGTATATTTGTGAAGCAAACGCCACTCATCCCCATGCTCAGTAATAGTGTTGAGATAGTTGGTGATCACTTACGATTTCCTCCTCCAGTTCTGGATCAATTCCTTCCAACTGTCCCTGAAGAAAAAGAGCCTTCTGCTTCTCTGCTATTTCATATGCTGGAAGCATCTCATTTTCATTGTGGAGTGTATCTAATTTTTTATTAAAATGGGCCACTTTTACATCTTTGCTTATATTTTCAATGATGTCAACAGCATCTGCAGGACGCTCATCTAGTATCATGGTCAACACATTAGAAAGATGATCATATCTACCCAAACAGAGAAAATTCCAGATAATATATACATCATGAACACTTAAAAAATTTTCATGCAAATTCAGCTGGGTTTTGGGGAAGTTAAAAATTTGAAATCTTAAGAGATTTTGAGGAGAAACTAATTTCTACCACTCCAGATAGAACCTACTCTAGGATTTTCTTTAGTAAATCCTCTAATGTGAGGTAGATATTTAAGTTAGTAGAGGAAAACATAACAGCAGGATATATAATACACATCAGCTATTTTCACATTTTATTTCTGAAACTGAAACCTCTTAGCTATATACTAACAGTGATGAACATTTTTCACTCTTACCTTAATTATTTCCTGTTCCCCATCCTTGCCCTCACCAAATACAATCTGATGTTATTTGATATTATCCTATTAATCTCTTAAGAGTTGTGTTCTTACCACATTATATATTTTTTTAAAAGATTCATTTATTATATATACAGTGTTCTGCTTGCATGTGTCCCTGCAGGCCAGAAGAGGGCACCAGATCTCATTACAGATGGTTGTGAGCCACCATGTGGTTGCTGGGAATTGAACTCAGGACCTCTGGAAGAACAGCCAGTGCTCTTAACCTCTGAGCCATCTCTCCAGCGCCCATATGGCGTATTTTAAAGAATTTTTCCAATTATGTCTGTGCATGTGGGTAGGTACGTGTGAAAGCATGTGCCCTTGGAGACTAGAACATGCCAGATCTCCTGGATTCTGAGTTGTAGGTGCTTTTGAGCTGCCTAACATGGGTGTTGGAAACCAAACTCTAGTCCTCTGCAAGAGCAGTACACACTCATAACTGCTGAGCCATTTCTCCAGCCCCTACATCTTTTAAAAAAAAGATTTATTTTATTTAATGCATGTGAGTATTTTGCATGCATGTATATATGTGTACCATTTGCATGCTGGTTCCTGAGGAGGTCAGACATTTTTGGATCCCCTAGAACTGGGATTAAAGGATGGTTGTGAGCTACCACCATGTGGGTGCTGGCTACTGAATCCTGGTTTTCTGCAAGAGCAACTAATGCCCTTAACTACTAAGTCCTGTCTCCACTGCTACATTATATTTTTAAAGTAACAATTTGCTTCAATGTTTTTAGGCTCCCAAAGAAAGCATTTCATATTGCTATCTACCTACATACAGTTAAAGACAAGTCAACAAATTATTTGCTTTTTTCTTTTGTTTTAAACTATTTTTGTTAGTTCTTGGAGAATTTTATATGTGTTTTAATCATATTTACCTTCCCTCTCCCAACTCTTCCCAGATCCACCAACTCAACTTTGTGTACATTTTTCCCCCTCCATCAGGGCCAATGTGTGCCACCCAAATATTCTTAGACATGTGGCCTTCCTCTGGAGTGGTGATTATAACATTTTGTTCTACTCTATTTCACTATTATATTAGCAAAACCTCATTTGCCATTAATTAGTCATACATTGTTCGTAACTCAGTCTGTAGTTTCAAGCACCAGATTTATAGAGACTGCATGGACTTTACACACTACTATATACTTATCTCCCAGCACAATGCTGATTTACAGAATAAGAATGGATGGATGGATGGATGGATGGATGGATGAATGGGGAAATAGTGGCCTATGCCACTTGAGAATCTGTTTCCAATATCATCAAAATCTATTGTATTGTGTCCTGTTTTGTCAGTAAACACTGAGTGCAACTTCATGGGATCCAATGTCTATGACCTCCAAGGGCACCCACATTCATAACCACACTCCCACACATAGATACATAATTAAAAATAAACTATTTTTAACGACATGGTGTTATATAGTGGTTAAGAGTTCTTCCTGCTCTTTGAGAGGACTCAAGTTGGGTTTCCAGTACTCACATGCACCCACATTGTATTTACAAGATGTAGCCTCTAGTTCCTGCTGCTATCTACTTATACTTTGGAGGCTGATGATCCCTAGTGGGAGGGCCAGGCATCAAAATATAAGTTCATAAGCATTTATAAAATTATGAATGTCATATAAATTTATAAAATAAAAGCATACACTACTGCAGGAGAGTTCTGTGGCAGCTGAGTTCTGAAGGGTCAGGAGCTAACTAAGCAAAGACTGAGGGAAAAAGCCTCCTCAGCAGAGGGATCATGGGAACTGACTATTTCTTAGGACTGGAGAAGAGTAATGAGGAATGAAACAAATTGAGAATCAAGCAACTGAAGTCCTCCATGAGTTTCTGAGTCAGGTCCTTCATATTGAAAAAGAACAACTTGATTTGATGTTTTCTTTATTTTAAAACATTTATTGACACTTATTAAAACATGTATGGGTGTTTTGCCTGCACAAAGTCTGTGCAACCAATGTGTGCCTGATGCCAGGGAGGCCAGAGGAGAGTTTCAGAACCCTTAAAACCAGAGTTACAGGCAATTGTGAACTAGGAATTGAACGTGGGTCTTCTAAAAGATCAGCCAGTACTCTTAACCACCGACCATCTCTTCCACCCCATTTCCATTTGATGTTTTCTAGCGTTGCTTCTAGCCACAAAATTCATCTATGATTATGTAATCCCGGAAGCAAAAATGTCTAAAACCTACACTATTATGAGTTCTCACATTAAAGCCACAATGAGATGTCAAGAATATACCCACACAGTTGCTTACCACATGTTTAAAAGAGAGACTAGAATGTTTTTAAACAGCCAGTTTTTCTGGTTTCCTGTAGAATGCAGGATGTGGAACTTTCAGTGCTCACATTGCAAGACAGACCTAAGAAAACCAGGGTGAGCAGTCACCCCAGCGCTGTCCAGGGATTGAGCATAAAGTCAACCTACACAAGTCCTGGAAGGGTTACAAGAGTGCACACAGTCACAGTAGGCAATTATATTTTACAAGCACCCTGGGTAGATGCTTAGATTTCATGACTTTATAATTCCCTTCAAGTCAAAAATAAATAAAACAAACAACAATGAGACCCCAAACAAACAAAATATACCCAGACTGTGTGACTAGGGTCTTCAAAGACCTAAAAGAATTGTCAGCAGTGGCCTGGATTTAAGTGTTTGACACAATTATCTCATTAACTCATTTATTTGCATTTTCTCTCCTTTGTTTATTTGTTTGTTTTTTAGATAGAGTCGCACTGTGTTGCCCTGACTGACCTGGAACTTTCTGTGTAGACCAGGCAGACCTATAACAGAGATCTGCCTGCCTCTACTTCCCCTCCTAGGTCTTGAGATTAAAGGCCTAGGCCACCACACCCAGTAACTTTTCTTTTTCAAATGAAAGCCTTTCCAATTCTATCTTCTTTCATCTCCAGCATGTTTTCACAGAGACACTCACCTCACTCTGTCCCTGTCCTGCTTTGTCTAACTGTCCTTCCCCCAACCCCCGTGATACTTACAGGTTTAAACCAGACTTGCTGCTGGTACTCAGTAGGTAAGCCTTTGCATTCTGAATGGCCACCTCAAGCATACTGGGGGCTGCTTCATCGGCCCTAAACTCGGTCTGGTCTGGGTCACAGTTACTGTTTGAATCTTCCTCCTGTAGAAGGTCATATCTCAGCCCGCTGGGCTTGGACTTGTTAGGGCTGGCATCCCCTGGCCCACACAGGTCAGGCTGGGGTGGCGGAGACCGTGGGAAGGTGCTTCCCTCTGCTTGGCTCGTGTAGTGAGAAGTTAATTGTCTTGCAACAGAATATGGTTCCCAAGGATTAGAATGAGGTGTCGCAGCGTCGTCAAGAATCCCACTCAGGACCCTCCCTGCCTGTGATGAAGTTACAGGGTCCTGTGTAGGTGCGGTCAGGAAAGGAACGGAATGAGACTCCGGAGGAAGCAGAGGAGGGGAGGACCGCAATCCTGGTCCGGTGAGGTCTTCCAGAGACGGGCTGGCTCTAGACTGGCGGCCCCAAGAGGGGCTCATTCTGTATTGGGGTTCAGTGTCTGACCTTTGCTCCTCTTCCCGGTACTCAGGTGACGAGGGACCAGGATCCTGGGGAGAAGCTGCTGACGCTCCTTCCCATGGCTGCTCTGCTTTCTCTGGCTCTTGGTTTTCTTTTTCTTGCTTCAGAGAAGGAGAGTTTTCCATAGGAGTCAAAAATAAAAATAAAGATTCTGGCTGAAGGGAGAGTGAAGATATGGAAGGAAGGAAAGGAGCAATACGGAGTTTTGCTGAGATCTCCTAAGCAATCAATTTCTGGGTTCTACAGGCTATACAGGTTGCGGCGTCCTGTCTCCATAGCAACCCCAGGCTGACCTTCTCTGAGGAAAAAAATCAAGCAGCCCTGTTACTAGGATTTTAGGGAGGAGACTACGATGAAAATTCTAGTTTTGTGATTGGGTGGAGTCTCTGTCCTTCTTCCTAGATCAGCCAATCCGAACCGGATCCTTTCGGGTTGTTTTGTTGTGTTTTAGAAACCGGAGACCTGCAAGTCCTCTGACTGAAGCACAGACTAGGAGGAACTGTGATCCGGTGCTGGAGGTCTTTAAGAGTGTGTGTAACAGCTTGATCCAGGCATGATATGAAGTATGAGGTCTGAACTAGTGGAAAGAAGATTATTCTCTGTGTATCTCCCACGTTGTGAGAGACAGATAAAGACACCGGGTGGGGGTGAGAGCGTGCCAAGATAATCTTGTAGGTTAGCTGACAAGGACATAGAGATAGATACTGTTTCAGGGGCCACTAAAGCCCCAAATGCAGGCTCACAGTGCGTAAGTATCTCACTAAGTCATCCTACTGTGAACGGAAACTCCCGAAAGGATCTGCATCTGCAGAGGCTGAGTGGCGGATTAGAATTTCCGGACTGTGCAGAGATTGGAATGTTGCAGGTCCGGGAGTTAATTACCTTATCATGGGCCAAATTCTGACCCTCTAAAACAGCCATTCCACTGTGTGGGGCAATCTTGTGCCAATAGATAAAAGCCCTTTTGGAATCTATTAGCTTAGCAGACCACTAACTTCTGCCAAATGTCATCAGATAGCATCTTAGACGAATAGAGTAGCTCCCCACATACCTCCGTCTCTGATGTACCCATCAATTGTATGTTAAACTTGCCTTGATTTATGACTTCCTTTGTTCATGGAACTATAAGAACTTCATGAAACTGCTTCCGCATTGCATCGTGGAGTTTGGAGTAACCTAAATCCATGTCCCTAGGTCACAGTCACTCAAAGTGGCTCCAGAATAAACTATCTCTTATACCCTTGAAGGTGAGATGTGGTTTTTGCGTCATCAAATATGGCACTGAAATGTGGGATGTTGAGAATGATCCACTTTTTATTGGATGAATCACCTGAGAGGAAGCCAGGTGACTGTATGAACCCGCTGAATCCAGGCCATCTGCTGCTATTTCCTCAGTGGATTGCTAGTGAATTCTTTTAGGACTCTGGACCTCCCTAAGTTTGGTCAGTGGTTCATTTTGCTTATTCTGAGCTGGTTAGGGCAGGGCGGTGGTGGCCCACGCCTTTAATCCCAGCACTCCGGAGGCAGAGGTAGGAGGATCTTTGTGAGTTAGAGGCCAGCCTGGTCTACGGAGGAGATCCAGGAAAGGCGCAAAGCTACACAGAGAAACCCTGTCTCGAAAAACAAAAAACAAAACAAAACAAAAACAAACAAACAAAAAAAACTGAGCTGGTTAGGAAGGAGGTACTTCGATAGACAGGAGGATCCTACTTTGATCTGCTTTCAAAGTATTTTGTTAAAAGTATCTCATTTGTGAAAGACCCTAACCCTTCAGGCTTACACCCCCCAAGCCCCAGGAAAATGAGGAACTAAAAATCTAGCTCCAAGGGCAAGCTGACTCAATCATTATTCAATCACCCCTGCCACAATGTAACAATGTAAAGAGATTTCTATTAAGAGATGCGCTCAACTGTGACTGGGATAATTGCAAGTGTTCCAGGAAAGACCACTGTAACCTTTGTGTAACTCTCACTCCCACCCTGACACCCCCTTGAGGTTTAGGGAAGAATGTGCATGCGGACGTGACTGTACCTACTCTTTGATCAGACCATGATCTTGTGAAATTAGCCTCTAGACATAAATCGATCAAAACGAAATTGTATGGGAATTGTAATCTTATGGCTTTTGTGGGTTTTTCCTTTAAAAGTACCTATGCGGCTGCGGTAAGATGTGACTCTTGCCCTCAGGACAAGGGGAGCCTGACTGTACAGTCGCATCAATAAACCTCTTGCTGTTTGCATCAACTGAACCGGAGTCTGGGTTCTTGGGGGGCCCACTAGAGAAGGTAGTACCCTGGGTCTGGGGTCTATCAATTTGTTTCTTTGCGCTGAGAGCATTTTGGTCTAGGCATTTTGGTTTGGTTTGGTTTTTTTGCTTGCTTCCGGATGTCTAAAGGCATTTTGGTCAGTATTTTGTTCGTTTTAGGAACTTTGAAGGCATTTTGGTTTTGGTTTTGTTTCTCTTGGTTTTCACTGTCTTTGAAATGTTTTATTAGCATTTGGCCTTTGTCTCCTGACATTCCCTTTCAAATTCACAATTCTGCATCTCCTGCTGCTTCTCCTGCCACCTTGCTAAGCCTTTAGCTAAGGAATTTTATGAGTACCCAATGATAAAGACGCTGAAGACAAGAGACGCTTGCTCCTTCCCACCCAAAAGTGTGGAGGAGTCAATGGAACACTCATGAGTGCAATGGCCCCTTAGGGAAACCCAACAAACATACTGTGGTTTTCATGTTGATACAGCCAACCAGAAGGTGTGATGTGGAGGTTAGCCTCCCTGAAGGTACTGGGAGCCAGTTGGACGGTGCTTGCCAGCATCTGGCAGTTCCTTTTCTGAGCCTTTTCATCTCTTCCATGGTACACCTCAAATGCTATTGCCAGCACATCTGCCTGTGGAGTCAGAGGGCCATTCTCCAAACGTTTAAGTTTATCCCTAATGTCAGGGAAGCTCTGTGAGACAAAGTGGGTCATTAGGAGCTGCCTGCCCTCAGGGCTCTCTGGGTCCAAGCTAGTGAACTGAAGTAGAGCCTTGGTGAGCCGCTCTAAGAAATGAGACAGATTTTCGTCCTTATCCTGAATTACCATTTTTAGTTTTTCATAGTTTACTGGTTTTAGGGCAGCCTTACGGAGGCCTGTCAGGAGACAGGCAATAAACCTATCTCTGGCTAGACAGTCACCCTGGGTGTTATAGTCCCAGTGTGGTTCTTGGTCAGGAACCACCTCAGTTCCTGGGGGGTGTGAAAGGTTAATCTGGTGAATTTCGTCTGCATGGGTCCTAGCCTGTTCCCATACCCGCCTGCGCTCCTCAGGAAGTAAGTTATTAGAAAGTTTCGTGTATATATCATGAAAGGTGAGACTATAAGATTGAGTTATATATTGAAACTGTTTAATAAAGGGAGCAGAATTAGAAGTATAAGAACCCAGCTTAGTTTCTATCTGAGAGAGTTCTGCGAGAGAGAGTGGAACATGAACCTTAATCAGTCCATCCACACCAGCCACCTCTCACAAAGGGAGAACAGTGGAAGGATTTGGATGGCTGGAATCAGGCAATTTAGCAGTCCAAGAGCGGGTGGTAGTGGGGGTGAAGGTTGGAGCCAGGTCAGGGCCTTTGGAAATGACCGCTGCCGAGGGAGAAGCAGCTTTAGAGGGAGAAGAATCTGGAAGAGGAGCTGAAGGAACAGTCGCCCTAGGAGTAGGAGTGGGAGCCAGAGGTCGAATAGGTGGAGGTTCGTTAGCAGGATCTAGAGTCAGAGATTCCGGAGTCAGAGAATCCTCCGGTTTAGGCATAGCTAGGAGTATGTGAGCAGGAGAGAAGGAATCCAGAAGAGACGGTTTAGCATTGAGAAAGAAGAAAGCAACTCTTTCCATTTGCCTGCTCGCTGACAGAAAACAGAGAACTCCCGTAAAATATTGGGATCTAAGGAGCCGCTCGGCAGCCATTTTTTGTTGTTTTGTAAAGCGTATTTGGGCCATTTCTTAGTACAGAGACGGATCAGCTTAGGAATCTTTATGTAAGGCATTAAGCTGAGAGGTTTTAAAGCTTCAAGAAAACAGCCTAATGGAGAGGAAGGACTAAGGGTTGGAAGCCTCGTTTCCCATGTCTGCAGCAGAGAGGCAGAAAAAAAAAAAAAAAAAAAAAAAAAAAACCAAACGTGATCTGGAGCCAAGGCCCCAGGTGTCCCCAAGGCCAAGGACAGATACCAGGCACAGGCCGCTAATTGACTGGTCAGCCAGAGAAGCGGGGTGGGGTGGGGCACAAGAGGCAAGGATTCCCCGGGAATCCGGACAGCATCTACTGCTTCGTCAAGCCAGAAGAACGTGTCGCCCTCATGCGGCCCCCAGGATGCACCCAACGACGGTGGTCCCACTGCGAGGAATATCTCAGGCTGCAGATGTGGGAGATGGCTAGAAATTTAGGCCTGCGATAGGGGCCAACCGTAGCCAATAAAGACCGTGGCCAGGGGTTTCCCCAGCTTCAAGAATACTTAGTGAGGCGCCGGACACTCAACAAGATTCAGGAAACCATTTACGCTGGCCAAAAAGTGGGGGACTCACCAATCGGAGAAGCAGTGTTGGATGTAGTTTAGTGAGGCCAGGTGAAATGGAGAGCAGTCTGTCACTTGCGGAGCAGAGTCCCCGGTTTGTGTGGAGCAATCCCCAGTTTACAGGTTTCCAGGCTCAGGGTGCCCGGAAGCGCCCACTCGGTTCATGGCACCAGACGTTAGTTATTTAGCGGCACTCTTACCCTGCGAGGAAATGTCACAAAACACGACAGAAACTGAATTCATGTCCTCTGGAAGAGCAGGAAGTGCTCGGAACCACTGACCCATCCCTCTGTCCTCCTGTACTTGGTCTTTTGAGACTATCCTGCTCATTTCATCAATCCATGTACTGACTGGGTTGTTCACTTTCTTGTTGTTGAGATCTTTGAATATTCCAGATATGAATCCTCTGTTTGGTGCATACCTTGTAAAGATTTTGTCCCATTCTGTAGGCTATCCCTTCATTCTGTTGTTTCCTTTGATGTAAGGAAGCTTTTAAGTTCCACGAGGTCCCACTTGTTACAGGTGCTACTTCCTGAGCAACTGCAGTCCTATTCAGAAAGGATTTGTCTATGCCAATATCTCAAAGTGTTTTCCTTACCTTTTCCCTTATCAATTTGAGAATTTCAGGCTTTGCATTAAGGTCTTTGGTGCATTGGAAATTGATTTTAAGATGGGGTGAGATATAGAGATCTATTTTCATTCTTCTACATATGAATATCCACTTTTTGCTAGCAACATTTGTTGAAGAGATTGCTTTTTCTCTAGGGCATA